AAGCAATTTAGAAGTTATTTCATAGATACAGCCACCTCAGAAATGTGGAATTTGGAGGTGATTAAGAAGCCATTTGCCTCAGCACATTCTTGGGGCTGGTCTTTAGCAGTGCTGGTGGAGGCCTAAACGCAGCGATCAAAAGCTCTTCATACACCATTAACCACAAAGTGCTGCCATAACCACAGAGTTTGCCAAGTCTCACACCATTCATGGATTTTTGCATTCATCCAGAAATAATGCTTTCAGTTCAGATTCAAAAAGGCAATCTTTCAAGTATGTGATAACACACAACCAGCAGGATCTAATTTATTAACACAACTTTAATATTTTATTTATCTGTTTGTCAAAGTAGGCCAGAAGTTGAGAGAGAGGCTGCAATCCCAATATTTGGACATTGCAGCAGACACATCACTGCTGCAATTAACACAGATGTATTATTAACTGACAGGTAACAGTCATGATAGTGGCTCAGTGGTTAGAGTGCTCGTCCACCAAAAGATTAGACCCAGTTTATTAATCTTTGAAATATTTTTGGGCAGCGCTCACGATGCATGAAATGTGATGATAGGAGCTGATCCTCAGATCAAAGTGCAAAAGTTTACATTGCAGGACCATGTGTGATTTTCTGCTGCCATTATTTTAATTAGCTAAAATCATTTAATATCGATCACTGACCTTTGTATTGTATCATGTTTTTAAAGCAACATATTTTCACCATTTTCATCCTATTATGACAAAACCAGTGATTTACATCCATACTATTTAATGCTAACATTATTGTACAGGTAATAAGCAGAAAGTTGTGTTGAAATGTATATAATATGTTAACTAAACAAGTTGTGAAAATGTAACATACACTAATAAACAGATGGTACTAACATAAAACTTAGAAGCTTAAAAGTTTTGGGGCGATTTCCCAAGTTTAAGTTTACAGTAACTTACCGAGGGCTTAGCCCTTACCACACTATCACACGTGTTGACCTGAGGAGTGGTCTGTGGACCAGGCTGTGCAGTAAGCTCCAGTGGACCTCCAGGGTGGATGACTCAGAACACAGAGCAGGTGCACACAAACAGGAGGGAGGAGGTTCTGGTGCTGTCAGCCCGAGGAGCCCTGCTGAATGTCTCAGTGTGGACACAAGCACACATGTGCAGAGGTGTGGGCATCACTGCATCACTTCTGCTGCAGCTAAACCAATGTTGATGGAAGAACGTGGGAGGGGTAGAGTTGACCTCTCTGGTGCTTTTTTGAAATATTAGTTGAGGTCATTATGGAGAAAATGTTTGTTTTTAAAGTTCAAATGGGTTTACAGCTAGGACCATGACTTTGCAAACTCAACGTTTCAGAGCTATTAACCAAATTATAGTTGTTTCCCCTTCTCGTTTACTCTCTTGAAGTTGTATTTAGAGTGATTTGTGCATGTTTGAGCAATCTTTAATTACTTACTTTCCAGACGTTATATTGCCGATCAACCCCCCGATCAATCTCCACTGGCATACCACTCTCTGCTCATGTTCATGCTTATGCTCTGTACTTTTTTTGTTCTCCAGTTTTTGTTTCTTAATGGGTGATATACAAAGGATTTAGCAGCGTTGCATTGTCATTGTGGTACAAATGAAAAAATATCTGCTACTTCCTTCCGTGGTCAGAGTTGCTGACTCTTTGTTACAATGACGTGTTTACTATGACGTCTGCTGCAGTTTTCAGTGGCCATTTTAGAAGAATATTGCGATTTAAAATTAGTGTGTGTGTGTATATGTATATATATATATATATATATATATAAGTATTACCATGGCATTAAATTTGTGGTTGGAGTTTTATCTTTACAGATCGTCCGGTTTCCAGTTCAGGCCCCCTGCTGTGACATACACCTTTATACATGCTCTATAAATATATGTACTATCAAAATAATCTACACTATAAGAGCCAGTTAGTCATGCTTTCACATTGCCTGTGGTAGTCCTGTAGTTTGTAATGAAATGTAGAGATTTTCTTTAAAAAAATCACCAAAACCTTTTCTTTGTGTCCAGACCCAGTACAGCCTTATTCTGGTGCTGAATCCAGAAGACCACACCCTAAAAATAAGCACAAGGTATCAATTACTCTGTCAAAATACTAATTTGAAATGCCTGTACATTGCATATTTAGATAAATTTAGCACATAAAGCAGTGATGATTGTTGTTGAGACTGAAGTCTCTGAAACAGTAAATTTAAGGAAATGAGACAGTCCTCCTGTCATGAGGTGTGCAGAAGACAGAGAGGCAGCTCCAAGTCTGTTAGCATTCCCTCACTGTGTTTATATCCACAGTGTGTCATATTTAACCTGCTCTCTCCGGTGTGGACAAGCACCAATGATAAAGAAGAGATTTTGTGTGATTCATGTGACATTTCAATCTTTATGCATTGTGTTTGTATGACGTTCTACCGGGTTTCCTTCATGTACATAGTTTTTTTAATGCTGTTTAAAGACATATATGTGTTAGATGGAAGGAATGAGAGAGTTGTAAGTGAGTGCATCTGTCTAAGTTTGTATCTGTCAGCCTTACAAAAATAAAGATTGAATGTCATCAAAAGTTATTTTAAAAAACCAAGCAGCAGTTTCCTAGAGTTACAATACCAAAAACACCTAAACAAAAGAAAAGTGAAGTGGATTAACTTCAACTGTTGAATCACTGCGTAATACACCAAACTCACTGTGGTGTCAGAATAGTATTGAGTGAACACTAACTCCAGTAGTTTACATTTTAAAACCTCCATTGTATATTAACATGTGGATCAAATGCTGTTTATTGAGGTGTGATGACACAATCCTGAGCTCCATAGCCAGCTCTTTTTTAAACACATGTGCACCAAAGAGGGATTGTTTCACTAGCAATAGTTCGGTCCACATCCATTATCCACTGCTGTCAGTATCCCACGGCAACGCTAGTAAATCGAATAATACGATGGATCACGTTTTGTGTCACTTCCAAACCAACCAAACTGGACATTGTAAAAATGTTTTACAGAGCATTGATTTTCCTCAGGTGAACTACGTTTGCACAAAAATAAACCCCTCTTTTACTGCCAGCCTACAACAACACAGCTGCAATAGCAAAAGCAAAAGCCAGTCCATTCCTTGCCATGTCAGGGTCTGGGGGTGTCAAGAGAGCTGACCCCCAACACACAGCAAATAAAAGTGATTTACGGTGGCCCTGCTGGCTGCACTGCACTTTATGAAACTGTCCGGAGCAGAGTTACAACCTCAGCTAACACACACATACACACACCTACAGTAGTGGAGTGGACAATGTTAAGCAATACATGGGAAATGTGCACCACAGTACAGCTGCTATTCAAAGCAATGCATGCAAACCATTTAAAGAGCAAATGTGGCTGTGTCAAGATAACTAATGGAGTGCAGATCCAGTGATGATAGAATTAGTAGAAGTAGTTGCTGAAATTGTCTTTATAATTGTTGTACTGGGGGGCAATCAAGCACAAGGAGAATATATGTAAAAATATGAACAACGTATGAAAAAACTGAAGACATGTCAGACAGTAGATAAAGTTCATGCAAAATGGTGACAAAACATTGTATGTCTTCATGCTAGTTTCTCTCTGCTCTGTTGTACCATGTTGGAGGGAGGTTGTGCAAGAAAGAGGTCCACTTGTTGGGAAGGGGGAAATAAAGGGCATGATAGTTTTATAGGGAACACCAACTTTGTGGAGGCTGTTATCTTTGGCTGGTGAGCTGTTTGAGCTATTATTTGGAGGAATTAAAGGGATCATTTATTATTGGGAACCATTAAAAGTTCTTTATTTAAGTTGTTTAATTAGGTCAAATGATAGATAAATCCTGATGTACAATCCCAGGTAGTGTCCGCCATCAAAAGAAATTCGCACATATTTATACATTAACAGCATAGCAGCCAAAGGCACGATCAGAGGTTGCATGTTTTTTTTACTGTACAGGTTCTTCCCACACCCAACAGCCATTTTGAACTCTTCTGTCTAACAAAACCTTTACATGTTTGGTTAAAAATCATACATACACTTTCATCTTTATGCCATTAAATGTATTTCTACTACATTATGTTCACCTATCTCAACACCAGCAATGATAAGAAATGGCGCATGCAGAAGCTACTTTAGTTAGTGAAGTTGAAATCTTTATCTGCTGCTGTTTTTAAAGGGCAGTTCTCCATAAGAGGAAAAGCAGAGCTGTGGCCTTATGAGTTTAAATCACCTCAGTGCCACGCACACCCTTTAACTAGTCCATAACTGAACGCCTGAGCCAGAGGAGCTGACACTAAGCAGATGTGCGCTGGTTTATCTTGTCAGGACAATGAGCTACTGAAGGAAGCCCCCTGACTCAGAGGTCCAGTCTGGAGTTTGATTCTGAATACTACTGATTGCTCATTAACTGTAGTTCTGCATGTAATGGAAATGTAGGTAATATTGTGATGACAAAAAGTCTGACGGGCTGATACTGAGCAGATGTATGCAGATGTTTCATCACAGTCTGGCCAATAAAAATCACTGGAAGATTCAAGGAAACATCAAAAGATACACTACAAGTCCCATACAAATTCACTTCAGAGTGTTGAATATCATAATAGTTTATACTACATTAGCTCATTGTTTCTCTAATGCTCTATTCACCAGTCAATCCTAAATACAGTCCTTTGTTCAGGGTTCCAAACTATTTTTTGGACCAAATTAGGATAGTTAGTATATTTTAATGTTTAAACAACCATTACCGCCATAATATCCCTAATAAACCTTTTAGTGTGAGATGTATTTCACAGTTAGGTCCTTTTTTGTTTAGAAAATACAAACACATTTTGTCCAAGCCAGTATGAGCTATTTGTGCCATCCAAGCCCGGATAAATGTAGTGTTGTTTTACATGCAGTTTTAAAAATATGACTGTGTGGCAGTCATAATAATGTCTTAATCATTTTCCTGCATAAATGGCATTGTTGTTAGAAAACTGAAGTGGAGCTCTTCATCCACAGGTGCAGCCCCGGTTGAGTTTCAGGCCGAGGTCATTGTCCTGGACAAGTGAAGAGACAGGTGAAGAGACAGATGAACGAGCGGACGACAGGAGCATTCAGCGCCTGTTTGCTCCCACAATGAGCTCCCTCTACCCGGCTAATGTGCCCGTGTGAGGGAGAGAGGAGTAGTAACCCCACAGAAAAACATACCTGCATCCATGACCCCACTGACCTTGTAGTGACCGGTGTCCATTTCACCTGTCCATCTCTGTCCTTTCTGTTGCTTTGGACACATTATTGATATTTAAAGCTGTTGTTTGGTTGTTTTGTCTGAGTGTGCAAATGGATAAAGTTTAGAGGGTCTGTAATAAAGTGGAGGGGGTAGCAAACGTAGCCCTTTTGCTCCCTCCGGTGGACAAAGTAATTAAGACTAAAACCACATATTTTATAAATAGTAAATTGTGAGATTGGAACTAGCAAGAGGTTTTTATTTATAGGTTTATAGGTTACTTTATAAACATATAATAATATCATGGCAACAATAATATGGTAGTACACTAAAACTGGATTAGTATAATATATATATAAGAGATATAACGTAATAAAAAATATGTCATTATTGAACATTAAGATTTCTTTTTTAATTCAACTCTTTTTTCCAATTTAACGAATTATTATTATTGTTATTTAGTTTTGTTTTTTTTTGTTTTTTTTTATTTATTTATTTTTTCCTATTTGAGTCCAGCAGAGGATCCAGACAGGTCTGAGTGGGCTGCAGACCTCACCCCTGCATGACACCCATCCATCCACAGTAACAGGAGCACACCACAGAGCCGCCCCACAAAGGCCCGGGCCGGTCAGAGGCAGCACTCACCACAAGAGAAGGTCAGTGTGTGTGTTTGATGATGCTCTGGTACACTTAGCCTCTGTCCTATCATCAAAGCGCACAGGTGAGGGCAGCATTGTGAGCACGGGGCTCTCCAGTTACCCTTTCAACTCGCATGGGGCACATCAAAGACCGCCTTTTACACTGCACAAAATACAAGCACAAATTCATGAAAAATGCAACAATGCTCGGACACACATGAGATAAACAGAGTTCATAGAGCTATGCCTAGGCAACAAAGGGCCTGTGAGTACTTTGAATGGCAGGTGATATTTTCTATTGAGCTACATTAAAGGTGCACTGTGTAACTTCTCTCGTGGAGGGTCCACCACCTGTTGTCTCCATCGATATTACCGTTTTGCCTTGCTTATTCCACAGTATGGAAATAAATGGTAATCACAATGGGGACGGGTTAATGGTCATATCTGTGGAGAATTTTGAGATATAAAACCTGTAATTGAACAAATGAAATGGAGATATGTTTAATGTGCTACTGTGGAACATTCTTGGCAAAGAAATTAGATCTCCAAGAAGACAAGAAGCATACCCTCCACAAAAGTTATACAATGCACCTATAAGCATTCTTTTTATAAGTATTCTGCATTTTGCCATTTTTTGTCTATAGGGCGTAACTCTTTAGCCAAAAAATGTGACAAAAATCAAAGCATATTTAGTTTTTCATTTTGGTTGTTTTCATTGCACTGAAAAATATGCATCCTTGCTGTGAGGGGGCTTATATTTTACAAAAGTGACTCCTACTTGGCCGGAAGGATGATCTCCACCTGCTTGTCTCCATGTAAATGTCCTTCCTTTGACTATAATATTCCACAGTGTTGCATAAAACTTAACTATCTCTATGGAAAATGTTCTGAAGTATGGTTTTAATGTTCTACTTTCATGGAATTGTGCAGGTGAAGGCTATGTGATTTTGCTTTAATGTATAGTATATGTTTCTTCTTTCACACCCTATCTAATACTGAAGATGTGACAGAGGCCATCATCTGGAGCCAGGCAGTTTACAACACAATAAATCAAACTTCTTACATCGGGGTTATAGGCACAATTACATAGACAGTTAAGTGCACCAGATGTATGTATAAAGAAAACACAAAATGAGCTGCATGTCCTTCATTGACTGAAACATTTTTAGTGTTCTGCCTGCGCATACTCTCAGCTCTAGTACTTGTTCCCAAATTCTTTTTCAAAGACATCTGCCGCTTCTGGACATACATTTGTTTGGTGACATCTTAACAGTGGAAAAATGGACCTCACTTCTGGGAACACTGCAGTTTGAGGTGATTCCCTTGTGCAAAGGCATTCAGCTGTTACAGGCCAAGCCAACCATGGGGTGAATTTGCCTTTTCAGCCTCTTAAAACCAAAGAGCATCTAAGCCACTTCTATAGGTCCAAAGCGAAGTCCACTGCCTGTGCTTGAACCCCTGTGCATCTCCACGTCAGGCGCTGTTGGCAGGGAATAAGACGTCATCTCCTCAACCACATGGCAGGTCTGTTTGTTATTACAGGGTTTTCAATTTTCCTTTTTAGCTTTTTATTACAAAACAGCACTGATTTGACATGAAAAATATCTTTGGATTCAAAACAGAAGTATGAAAGGAAAGACATATATTAATATGTAACAAACAGCTAATCATTCAGAAATTGATTCAACATTGGATCTTTAGGTCTTGTCAGACAGACTTATCAGTCTTGTCCATTCTTCTATTGAGGGTTGTAGCGAGGGTTAGTCACCTGCTTGTCTCCATGATTAGATGTTCTTGCTTTCCCAAGAATTTTAAATAGCATAGGACTATACTGAACTATCTCAAGCAGCTAGTGCCACCAGATCAAATATACTTCAGATCTGTGGAGAGGAGATATACTTTTTCTTAATTTTGAGCACTAAAAATATCTGTAAAAATAAATGCAGAATAGATACATTTGAGGACATTTGGTGGAACAATTTAAACAAAGCAATTACATCTCCATGGAAACAACTTGGTGGACACCCCTACAGGAAAAGTTATGTAGTGCACCTTTTAGTTTCCAGTTCTATCCAAAATCATATATATTTATGAGTTTCATACTCTTATATGCCGTATGTTCAGACTTTTTTCCACATTCAAAAGATAAATTATAAATTATGAACTATAATGAACCATAATGGTAAGAGCACACACAGAAATGTAACACTTGCAGTGGAGCTCCTGTGCTGGCTGCAGGTTGGCAGATCTCCAACTTTGGAGCCTAAATTAGGTGTTAAGTGTGTAATAAAGGCTCACACTGAACTTCTGATATCAGGACATGACACCTTCAGCAAATTTCTTATAATCATTTGCCAAATATATAACCAGCCAATGGTGGCAACTGTGCCACCTGACAGTGCTGCTTTCATGTGGCACAGCTTCAGCAGAAGTCTTTGTTGTATGCAGTTATGGGTACATTAGACCTTAGTGCCAAGAATATTTGAAGTAAGAGTTCAGCACAAATATGGGCTTTCATCTATGGCTTTTAGGAGGTCTATTGTTGTATAGGGGTCTTTCTGTTGAGAATCCATGTCTGCTAGTACTACTGTAATATTAATATTGTAGTGGTATTGACTTGATTTGATTACATTTTAGGCTTAATATGCACTAATGATGACAATGCTTGAAAAAATGCATTGAATCTCAAAACCAGCAGGAAACTGGCAGGTGGCAGAGGTGCTGTTTCAGGGGGTCCCACAAAGAGAAGAGGAAATGTCCTGGAAAGCCCCCATGTCCCAAACAGTAGAGATATCAGCTTCACAAACACAAGGCCAGTACACATGCAGAAGCTTACACAAACACACATTTTATTTATTTACATTGAAAAACCCCAAAATGTTCAACAAAAGCTATGCTAGGACGAAATAAAGAGCTACGACAACAAACTTTTCATCATGCTACAGAATATCCAAACATTAAACAAATGGGACCAATTTCCAGCTGGCTTCTCATTACACTCTATATAGATTATAACATGCAACACATGTCGGCACTAGGTGGGAGTCCACATATGATCCCCCATAATGGCAGAATCAGGAAGTTAAGAAAATAACACACTCATGAATTTTGGTTTTGAGCTGTGTAACTTAGCAACCCATACAAGCAAACTGAGAGACCCCAAGCGAGATTTTCAGCGGTCAGCAAATTGTTTATGGTTTTTGCAGCGAGAAGAAGTAGCATAGCAACATTGTTTTAAAAAAGAAGTTGGAGGGCAAAAGAAGAAAAATAAACAAGATCCTTTGTGGTTAGTTTGAGAATGTTTTGTTTTTGTGTTAATCTGCCCATAACACGTAGTTTTAAATTAACCATTTACAATGCTTCCAAGAGCTCCCTTCCTGCTTAAAGAATCAAGTGGTTTCCCCTATAACATTTTATATACACTAAATACTGTATATTAGACTAGCAGGAAATATTTTTGGCTTCTGCTGTCTGAGTAAGATTTTTACACAATGTGGTATCTAAGCAGCTCTAGTCTGACCCAAACTAAACAACAAGAAAAACATGAAAATCTTTGGGGTTTGTTTATAACCAACTTCTAAAACAAACCATGTATTCATTTTTGTTGTAATAGTACACAAATGTTCAGGTAAGATCAGCTTTAATAGTATAATTTACTTATTGCAACATACATGAAAGGAAAGTAAAAGAGGAAGAGTCATAGGGGCATGTATTAGATACAGATGCAGGTGGATAGAGTGTGTAAGAAGCCTCACCTGCGCAGAGGGGCAGGTGGGATAGGGGCGATTGGGAACATTGATCTTTAAGCAGAAAACTTGATGCGTGTTTCCTGGCCCTCATGAACCCTCATCCACTGGGCCTTCCAAGAACAAAACAATAATGCAAACATATATTATAGTCTCTAAAATTAATACATACTAACCAGAATTTTTTTTTCCCTGTATGTTTATCTCTAGTAAGTACCCCCTATTTCACTCTTTTCAGTCACCTCAAATCCTTTCCTACTTGATAAACTACTCTCTTGCATTTTTAGGGTCAATAAAGAAAACGGTAATCATTATTTAATAGAAGCAATCTAACATGCCATTTCTTCTATTATTGATTGAGCATTTTTTAAGAGCCCTAACTTGAGAATTACTGATCTATGACACAAACAACCATTAACTTTCACATTCACTTGGCTCACAGGTATCCACACTGTTCTCAAAGAACAAATTTCAAATAATTATCATTATTTATGTTTTCACAAATTGTGCTGTACAAATAAAGTTACCTTGCCTATATGTTTTTTTTTCTTCATAATATCAGCCAATAGCTATAAAACACTAATCTGTATATTGAAACAGATCAAAAAGTGATTAATCCAAGAGTGGGTGATTTAAACCAGTCTTCTTCCTGTCTTAACAAAAATTTCCGCTGGCAGCTGCAGTTTCCTTCCACATTGAAATGACTTGTGTTTTGAGACTGAACTGTGCTCATTAATGTGAATTGAGGTGCTGGACATGTGTCTATATTTATTTGAGGGGACTGTTCCGAGTTGTTTCCTTGTCTTCCGCCCCGGGCCTGGCTGGTTTTAGACTGAGGTTTTGAAGAAAAACTCTAGAATAAATGAATGGTCTCTTAATGATCGTACTGTACAAGACCTTCTCACTAGTGCCTTGTTTATGAAGACTTTATAAGCTTCGGAAAGGGGGGAAATGTGTCACTGCCACCTCGTCTGCCATTTTGGCTCTGAGTGTGTCTGCTGCACCCACTTGGCAGTTAGGAGTCATTAAAATGGGTGTGAGGGAGCCATCCAGCGGTTTCTATCATTAATGAAGAACAGCCCTGACAACCAAAGGAAGCCACACAAACAGTATAATTTTAAATTGGGGCAGATGTGGGCAGATCCAAATACAGTCTTGATTTTGGTGTTTGGCAGTAAAGTTTTTATTCCTACTTTCATTCACTGTGGTTATAGATCAGTGATGACAAGGATACCATCTCACAATAGTAGGTTTACTTCTATATGTCACCTGCCTGAGGAGACAGCTGTAATGCTGTATGCTGTAATAGCAGATGTTAATTAATATGAACCATCCTTATGAAAGCAGATAGCCTAGTTCTTACAATCCTCCATATAACTCTTCCCAGCTCTTTCCAGCTCTTCAGATCTTCAAAAACAAAGGGCAGTTAAAGGCCACATAAAGTGTTTCTACTGCTTGGCCATATAAGATTGTAAGTGAATGAATTTTAAAGTTTTTAGAAAGTTATGTGACCCATCTGCCAATCGACTTTTTTTTTTTTTTTCCAGAGCCCCCACCCTCTACTGCTTCTAACATAACCACTTCAAACGTCTGTTCCCACACACTGTTTGTTTATCTGAAGCTGCATCTTATTGATTCTCAGGACACTCTCACTGCAGAGAAGACCACTTGGCTTTGCACAGGGTTGTCACCCACTGGCACATCTTTTATCAGTGGAGATTGAATGATTATATACAAACTATAATTTAAAGGTATCGCAGTCATCCCTGTTCCCAAACTCCTTCAAATGATTATTTCATAAATATTCTTGAAGGTTTTTTGAGGATGGCTTGAGTTTCACACAGCTGGGGGAGATAACTCCTGTGATTTGTGGCTCTATAATGGCTCTTCTTCACTGAGCTTCTCCTCCCAGACACTAGATAAGAGCTCTCATTTTACACGATGGTGCAGTGTAGGGGCGGGGGTGTCCCGGGTGGATGAGTCCGCACGGGTGACCTGAGGGCGGACAGGACGAGAAGGCCTGCAGGACTCACAGGTGTTTGGCAGAACACAGGTGCAGTGCACCTGCTCCACATGTGTCCACTTTCTCACACTCAGTGTGTGTGCATGCGTGCCTGTGCGTGTGTGTGTGTGCGTGTGTGTGTGCGTGTGTGTGGCTGCACAACAGCTGTGCACAGCATCTCAGCCCCCCTCACACACAGCGCTGCTTTATATAATAAATATAGTGTGACCTCATACTGTGTTCTGTAGGTTCATCCAAATGAAACTACTACATGTGCCCCTGTGTGCTGCCAAACAAGAAGCCATTTAATTTTCCTCATGTTTGAATATAGTGTGCATGTTAAGGGCTTGGTGTTCACTAGTGGCTCTGAAACTCTGCACCAAAGGGACATTTTTATGAATGACCATTTATTCTGTAAAGTCTGTTCTTCCTGTGAAACATTAATGGAGATTTCCTATAGCAGCTGCAGTCTGTTTGTACAATTAAAAACTATTTTTAAAAAAAGCACTTCTGAGACTGAACTGTGCTTATTACCATGAAAGTTCATGTTGGGCATAAGTATTTATTTATATCCTGAGATGGCCTATATGTCTCATAGTATTCTGGAGGATTATCTTTGAGTAATCTAAAAGAATTTCAGTGAAACTTTCCTGCTTAAATAAAAGCTAAAACTTTTAGTGTACTATAGCAGCTTATATCACGGCACGGTGGCTGAGTGGCTAGCACTCATGCCTCACAGCAAGAAGGTTCTGGCTTCGATCCCCAGGTCGCCCAGGGCCTTTCTGTGTGGAGTTTGCATGTTTCTCCCTGTGTCTGGATGGGTTTCCTCCGGGTGCTCCGGTTTCCCCCATCAACCCAAAACATGCTACAGGTCTCCAGAACAGTTGATAGTCAAGGTCAGTTAAATACAATCAATCAATGAACCTGTCCAGGGACTACAGGTGGAAATTAGCACTGATGCTACAACCTGATGTACAATGCATCTCTCCTGTCAAGGTTAATGCGAAAATTGTGCGCTGTCCCTGTCTCAAATAAATAAATAAATAAAAAATAAAAATATTTTTTGACTGGTTCAAATTATACAATAAAAAACCTTCTGAGACAGCAGTTTGGAGGCCAGGTCACTCTGATAAAACCGGAGTAGTTTAATCATTGTCCATTGTTCCAAAGAGTGAGCAGCGCCTCCTGTAGGGAGTTCCCAGTGGCTGCGAGTGAGGTCAAAGATAAAGAGGGTCTGGTGAGGAATTAGAGAAAATGTGGTCTTATTTGCAGTGGCATAGTAAAACCAATAACATCAATTTGGATACAAAAGTTAAATACAGATAAAACAACTTTGTAAAATCGTAAGCAAAAAGGGCTTGTAAAACAAAAGCCACAGTACAGCAAGATATTTTTACTGTCCCTGAAATACACTAGAGCTTTGCTTGGTTGCATCAAAACAAGCAAAAACAGATTTTACACACACTACTTCCTCAAAGTCTGGACAGCATTTTGTGGTGTGGAGAGGAACCCCCCGCTCTCCTCTGCTAATTACACTCACATTATCGGAGACTCTTGAAAACATATTTTATCCTTATAGCAGCACACGCACGCTTACATAAAGACATCCATCTACTGAATTAGAAATTAAATGTGCTGCCCTCAAACCTATTGGCCTTGTGTTGTGGTAAACACTTGTGATTTACATGTGACAAGAAGAAATGGTTAAGCGGACCGAGGCAATAAGTCAAGTTGAAATGCCGTGTGGAGTTATTTGATTTTCTGATGATGAGAGGCAACCAAAGGCTCTGTGGGAACTATAAACAATGTAGGCCACAAACGTTGGCCAGTTGGGTATCAAGTGATGGAGCCTGGAAGCCTTGTGCCTGAGAAGGAGGGCAAACCAGGGAAGTGTGATGGAAAGGCAGAGGCCCAAGTGATAAACACTGCAAACGAGTATAGCCATAGACATACAGTATAAAAGCCTAGTGCAGATGAATAATGAGCCTGCTGCATGTAAACTGTGGTTGAAGACAACAAAAGCTGCTGAGTAACTGCAATGGTGCGCTGTGAGGTGGGGACGCCCTATCATATGGGTTCAAGTCTACACCAGAGGACATATACATTAACTTACTTTAGGTCCTATATTACAAAAAAATTACTTTTGTGAGCTTTAAGCCATGAGATAATGCAGCTACCTCATCAAAAACATACCTGGAATTCTCTTTTGTTTCATTCACACATAAGTAATCCTGCATTATTGGCCTGTCTCCATCTTCGTCCTATGTTCCATCTTGTAATTTCATGAAATGGACGTTTTCAAGGTAACAACTACCTTTTACTTTGAGATTGGCTATTCAAGGGCTGAAATTATTCAAATTGTTTCTAGTGAGGGTGGAGTTTAAAAACACATTGAGCACTTCCTGTATTATGTACCGTGGAGCAGTGTGTTTTCAGTTTAAGAGAAGAACTAAATATGCAGGATTTGTGTGTTAAACATGTGTGAATGTAAACACAAACACAAACCACAACTCCAGGCGTGTTTTTGATGAAGAAACAACATGATAAGTAACATAGATCAGAAAATGGAGTAATATGGGCCCTTTAAGGTTTCAGTGCATTACATTTAAAGGTGCATCATTATGTAATTTTTCAAGCGAAGGGAGACAATCAGGTGACACCAGTAAGCTAAATTACAGGTCAGATTGGTAAAAAGGCAACTCTGGAGACAGATTGACTGCTTATTTATAAAAGTATACAAACACAAAAAATTAAAGTTGAATTAAAGTTGAATGCCATATGGTGGAACATTATTTGTAAAGCAAATCCGCATGAGCTAAGCAAATGGTAGACCCTCCTCAGGAAAAATTGATAATGCATCTTTAAATTCAAATCCAGAGATAAATTGATTGGAGCATCAACAAAATAATAGGCCTATATACAACCAGCCTATCATTTTACAGTTCTTTTATAAATGGGAATGGGAACTGAAGTACAGACATCCATGGGGAGAAAGGAATGGTAATCACTCTTATTGAAATGAAAAATGTACTTAAGTTTATTTGCAGTACAAAAAACTAACTAAAACAACACTAAAAGTTGTAAGTTACATTTTTACAGTCCAACAATAATGTTGAATTATTTTTCTGTCCTTTAGTAAGACCTTGGTCCATAGTTGTTCCTCATTGTCCATTGTCCTCTTTGACGCCTCTTTTGTTTAGTCCACTGAAATACTTCTCCCTGAAGGCGTTGTGTCCCTCATAAGGACTGAAACGCGGGTCGAGCAGGTGAGCCTGGTTGTCCGTCCCCTGCACATACACATTCACACACATTGGTTTGCATGCTTCCTAGGCACATTACATTGACTTAATTCAGTTTCTGGAAAATTATCCTGACCTTATGATGCCTAACCTTAACCTAAACCCTAACCTATTTTGACACATCTCTTAATTTTATTGTAAGATCAACAACATGATTTAAAGGAATTGCATCAAGGACTGTGTGTATATTGACTTCAGTCCTCACAATGAGATAAATACCCACTCACTGGCAAAATGTTTTTTACCAGTTTTGGCTCAACAATAAGAAAAATGTGGTTCTAAAGTGAGAGCGGTAAATAACATCATATGTGTTTAATGTTTGTCTTGGCATTAGGAAGCTGCTGGTCAAAGCAGGGATAAAGGGAGGATAAGAGATCCCTGGAAAGTAAAAATAATGAGGTGATGTGAGCTGTGGTGATGACTCTATTGAAAGCTGTAGTGTAATTTGTCAGTAACACCCATCGACCACCAAACGTGTTTTAACTGATCATAAATAAAATGAGGCTAAGCATCTTCTTCAAGAAAATACAAGCAAAACACAGCATTTGCACAACGATAATGTTACACACCAACAGTTTAAATTATAGCTAAGTTATATTAAGCTTATTTTGTTTTGTTGGATGTAGCTCCACTGTGTGACTAAGTGTGAAGATACCCACTACAGCCACTATGGGTCAGTAAAGGAACAAAAGAATTATGTTCACATGAACTCTGAACCTCAGGTCTGTGTCCTTGTTGGCCTTGTTGTTATATGCCATTTGGAGATAGGACAGATGCATGCCAGAAGTCTGAGTGCTTCTACTTGTGCTATTTAATTAATTCATTAATGACTTTAGCATTCAATTAATCACTGGATTTACACAGTGCCTTTCAGGACAGTTAAAGCTCTTTAAAGAGTATCATTCACTCTGCTCTTGGTGTTGGTACGATACTTTTGTAGCCACAGCTGTCCTGGACAGACTGACAGAAGCAAAGCTGCCAATCTGTGCCATCAGCCAACACTCACACATATTCAAACTAGGCAATGTGGGTGAAGTGCCTTGACTAAGGAAACAGTAACATTTTTTGACACTAGCGCCTCACTGTGCTACCTGGAATTCCCAGCAGTCCCTCTTCCAAGTACTAACCAGGCCTGGCCGTGCTGAGAGCTGACGAGATCAGACCAGTATGGCCATTGGCCACAAATTAAATTAATTAAAAATGTACAACCAGTTTTATGGGGGTTGAAATGGGAAGCAATTTAAGATTTGGATGCTGAGAGGAACAACAAAGCAAGAAATGCAACAAGCAAGTAAATAATTTAGGGATCTCAAATGAAAGAGAAAAATCTATCACAGCCACATGAAGAGGACAGGCAGACTCCACTGCCTTGGCATAACTGCATATATGACATTTATGTGATGATATATTTCTTTGCCCCACTGCCTATATTAATCAAATCATGTCTACCCTGTCCATGCTTCCTCATCTGCATCAAATTCTCTTAACCACTGACAGTGATTAAATTGTAATTTCTTGCACTCACCTCTGGCTCTTTGACCTTCTCCATAGTGATCAGACGACGAGAAGTGTGACTAGACAGAACCTGCTCACAGTTACTGAGGAGCTGGAGACATGGATGAAGAGGCACAATCTCCTCAGAATAGCTGAAACAGACAAACAGTACCTTGAATCCAAGTTTTTTTTTAAAGCCTCCTATATGTCTCCTATATACATAGCTGTCTTTTTGACCATTAAAGAGATTTCCAAGATATTTTACTACATGTATTGTCTGTGTTTTGAGATGTTTTGTTTTGTTACTTTCTGAAATTGAGGTAGTATTACTTCAGGAATATAAGTGTAATATTTATTTCTGCAAAACACCACTTTAAACTTCATTTCAAATAACTAAGGTTGAAGAGTTTGCACTAAAGGTGGAAAAAGTGACTGTGGCCTCCAGCTTGAGTGCAGACTCTGTCATCGCTAGGCCAACCAGGGGTTATGGCCTATTAACACTCAGTGATGTATGTGTTTGCATATTTGTGTCAGGAGCACTTTCTCCTGACCGCCACCGACTCAGAGACAGATTTGTGCATCACTGTTTGTCTGTGTCGTTGCTATAGCAGCGAGAGGGCCTCTGATGTTTGGTGTTCCCGCGACTGTAGCCGAGATTCAGCCAAAAGATAATTCTATGAGCCAGTCAGGATGGGCTTGTAAAGTGCAGTGTTTAGTGAGTGAGAAGGGATTTGAGATTTGTCTCACTATTATAAAAACTTGCAACTGACATGTATAGTTTTAGGTATGTCACAAAGAAGAAACAAACATACATCAAAATCCTGATAAATCCAAATAGAAGATAGTTGTGTTTAGATAATGTGGAATTAAATAGCTGAGACCACAAAGATTTCGAGTATTCTGAGTCTTGTTTTTCTTACATTCACACTTCATATTTCCAGCAGGCATCTTCGTTTTTTTTCTTAAATTTATCTGATAAACAAAACAAAACTTTTCTCTCCTATTATGGTTTAGTGATACACCTTATGCAACTCACAAGTCACAAGTGCACACTATTACTGTAAGAAGCTGTAATAAAATCATTGTTCACTGTAGCCAGACATGTACTTTCCACAATTTATTGTACACAACTGCCCCCTGGTGGAGCTCTCTTTTCAAACTTTCAGTAAACAACTTCGAACATAAACCTGTACTCATGAAACTGAAATTGTATTTACAACTGTAATGCAGCTGCATTCTCTCAATCTATCTCAAAATATTAAACACAGAGAGGAAAAAACTAATTTAAAGAACATATGGTCTCCTCAGGATGTTTAGGAAAGACAATTTTGAAATCATTGTACTTACTCTGGTCTATATACAGGCAGCCAGTAAACGAGTCTTCCTCCCAGGACAAGGTGATGTGCAGAGAAGCTCAACAGGTCTTGAAAAATGTCACTGAGATGATACGCCTGAGACACAGGGACATGCGACTCTGCATAACTGTTAAAAGAGAAAATAATTGGCTATAAACACAATACATTATATTCATTGGTTACAATAATTAACTATGACAATGTGATGCATTTGTCATATAGTTACTTACACGCCATCACAAGGCTTAATAATATCTTTGTGTGAGCCGGTTCTTCTAGTTGATTCACGGATGCCATATGGGGCTGCCATAAATAAGAACATATGGTGAACAAGGTTTTAACTTTTGGTAGTTGTTTTAAAGAGACCTACGATCAGTAATGATGGCATCAAATAGAGGGGCCTTTCTCCACACAGGCTTAGATGCATCAGACACCATCACGTCTAAATACAGCATCTCTGTACCATACTGCCGCAGATTAGCTCTGATGTTCTCATCTGGCCCTCTCCACTTTTGTTTTTTCCGACTTGACCGTCCTAAAAGACAGTTGCATCATTATACACCAATTCAGATGCACATATTTGAAAAAAATATTCAACATAAAACAAACATTACACATTGAAAGCGTACCCCTTCCATGAATAATATTGTAATCAATGTCTGTTCCACATACATAGGCTCCGAACTGTGAACAAGCAACCAAAAGGCTCCCTAAAACACATAATAACCAAAGAAATATGTGAATAGCAGTGACAAATGTTTACTTGTTAAAGGCACAAACAAAACATACCTGTTCCAACAAATGGGTCAAATACTACATCATTTTGTTTTACTTTTGCATGATTAGCCATGATAAAAGAGAGGCCAGCATCCATGCTAGTGTTCCCTATGAAGTGCCTGTTCTTTACACTGTGGGATCTAATCAGCTCTCGTTGTCCATCTGCAATCTGAAAGGTAAATACATCCATTAGAAATTATGGACAACTATTACTCTTACAATACCACTACCATGGGGTAATCACTCATTGCATTTCTTTTTTACCCAGCGGCCAAAGTACACATAGTCTGGAAGCTCAGGAATGTTGTTGGGATCTGTTCCGTAATCTTCAAGCAGGCAGAAAATGTGCTGTGGACTTTTAAGGCTGACCCTTCCCTCAAAGGGGAGATACTCCATGTCCTAAAGAAAATATTTAAAAAGGCACTACATTTAAAAATGCACATGCTAATATCAACATAATAAAACACACACATACATCAATCCTTTTTATTCTTTCAGCAAACTCCAGAGTCTTATTAAAGGTGTACACATTGATCCTGTAGGTGGAGTCTTGCTGCATGAATGGAGTCTAGAAAGAAAAAAAAAAAAAAAAGTTAACAGTTTTACATGTTTAGACTGACATTATTGAGCCTAACAAACCATGTTCTCTGCTGGATAGCTTAAGAGTGATGTTTTGAGATCACTGTGTGTTTTCCCATGACCCCAGAGTTCAAAGGCAGATCTGCAACATGAGCAAAAGATAACTTAAACCATTTTCACAATCCAAGACAAGCAAAGAGGAGAATAAATATAAAACAGTACTTTGCACAAACAGATCTAGCCATGACATGTTTGATATCTTCTTCAGACAAACCCTCTAAACACCAAAAAGGAGCCTGCAAAAATCATAATTGTTATCAGTTATTGGGAAGTGAAATTGATAAAATGGTGGGAGAAAAATGCACACCTTTTCTTTGAAGTTTAAACTTGGAGTGAATGATTTTCCCCGGAGAGCGAGCAGGCTTTTAATCTCCTGGTAAAAAGTATAACGTAAAACATCAGTGAACAATATATTAGAATAGACCTTTTTAACAAAGGTGTTATAAATGACAACTGAATAAAACAAACAAGAGAGTATGACGCGATTTGAGTTGACAATTAATATAACAATTAACGACATCATTAAAATACTAAATATAATAGTTGTAATCCTTACCGGTAACCTAAAATCTAAATTATCTTGTGCAAGATGAAGTAAAAACTGAAGGCGTGATCGACTTGTGTTGGCCGCCATATTTGTTGTCACTTAAAAATAAGTCCGACTTGAAATAAGGCTTTGACATTGGTTCCACTAGTGGGTCACGCTCATGTCAGGCACTTTTCATGAAGACATAATCCTAACATAATCTTGCATTATGGATTTTGAGAGCAGTTATTAGTGAACCTTCTGCTTAAATGCAATAAAAATGATGAAAAACAATGTCAGCTCATAATAAAAGCTCAAGTCATGTATATATTTTGTACTTTAGCTACTTATGTATGTGAGAAGTGGATTGTAATTATGATTTGCCACATTAGAAATACACTGCAAGTTTCTCCTAAAAATGTCCCAGTACGCAAAAATAAGTAAGTACTGTATGACAAAGTAAAATATGGATTCATTCATACAATGTTTATTATATTTCATTCCAGAAAGTGCATAAGAACAATTTCACATTAGGCAATGTTGTCAATATATCCTGCAATACAATGTCTTTGGCAAGATAATAAATGTCATGCATCATATCAGAACAATGACCTGATTTTATAAATAATGGTTAATAAGTACTTGATTATTGGCTCACATTTAATTACATGATAGTATGAATAACAGCATACAGTATATGTGATTAATGATTCATATTAATGGATAACATAAAGGCTACAACTGACATACAACACAAAATCACAAAGATAATGCTCCAAAAAATGTTATTGTTTTGTATAAAATAATTTTAAAAATATCACTATAATTGTAAAACACTGCTTATTCCCATAATGCTAAAGGCTTGCATTTTACACATTGAAATCAAAACAAGAAGCTGATCATTTTTATAAAACCCTTTACTAATAAATAACACTTCAAGCAATTAGTTTGTACAATCAAAAGGCCCATTAAGAGGTAAGAGGTGTAATTATTTGACCCAGCACTGACACTTGGACACTTTAACTGTCCAAGTGTTAGTCAACAGTTAGTTTGTCTCTCCCTTTGAGTTTAGCAGCTCTATCAGTTGATCTGCCTGCAATATAGAAACATAATTTGGTTAGACATTCAAGCAAAAACAACACAGTTCGATAATAAAGATGTTGACCATCTATAGTATTTTATTCAATAACTGCTCTTGAAGCTACAATGTGTAATTACATTGGCCACCTCTGTTGTTTTCCTTATATATGAGTATACGTTACGGCAGGGGTAACGGAAGGAGGTTTCTCTCTTTGTTGCAAAATATAATGCTCCATAATATTACAATACTGACATGACAGTGACATGTTGACAGCGATCATGATGACCAGTCTGTAAAAAGTTAAAGTTACTCACTGTTATAAACCAGTAGGAGTTGAGCTTGTATATGAGACGAGACATGTAGCCCATCTGACTGACAGGAGCCAGGACATGAAGGTGCAGATGCTTGACTGAACAGAACGGAGGCCAATGGAAACCAAACCTGTAAAATACATACATAAAAGTATTAAGCATAGACCTAAATATTAATACTCTGCCAAAAATAATTGCACTTTGAATTTGAATTGACCCACCTTACATCACTGAGATCTGTTATATTAGCTTTCTCCAACATGTTCTTTCCTAAGTCCACCATTTGTTTCACTGAAAATGCAGCAAAGGACACAGCATGAGTTATCTGTTAGATGGGACTGGAACATTGATATTGAGTAGTACACACACCTAAAGGGACATGCTCTTTGGTGAGAGACTTGCAGTTGCCAACATGTTTAGTCGGCACCACTAGGTAATGGTGTGGTGCTGCTGGTCTGATGTCTCTGAAGCAGCTCATTTCTTCATCCTGGATAAAGATAACACAGTGTCATCTGAACACTGCCATTATACTTGCTTTGGCATTCATGACAATAGATACATCATATACTACATGCAGATTTACCCATAATTTACTGTAAAGAAGATGCCAAACGATGCATAAACATAAATACAATCTGTAATAGTGCAATAAGGTATACACACTGCACACATGCACAACTGTTCTCTTCGGTTGTCTGCATTAATCATTATTGACCGGCTAAACCTAAGCTAGCTAAGATGACTGATATTATTCATATTTTCACAGCTGTCTTACACAGTGCAGTAACTCCGTCCCCATTTCCTTGTTTATTATCTTGCAAAAAATACATTTCTTGTCATATTCCCCGGGAGCGTCGGGTTTACAGTTGGGAATATCATCTTGAGGAGATTCAGCCATTGCCCTGATAATGCCGATGATCTCAGAGATCATTAAAGGGACGAGCTCACGAGGTAAAAGCAATCGAGTATCGAAAGTGATGCCCAATGATCTTTAAAGTGTCCACCAGAGGGCGCCATGACTACATCTATTTAGAGGAAAATGAAGAGTCCGATCCAGAATTATGCAGAAAAAGGCACGTTGTTTAATGTGGCGGGACCGTTGACTGTATTAAGTAGTGTAGTGTATTGTATTGTATTGTATTGTATTGTATTGTATTGTAGTGTATTGTATTGTAGTGTATTGTAGTGTAGTGTAGTGTATTGTAGTGTAGTGTATTGTATTGTAGTGTATTGTATTGTAGTATTGTGTATTGTATTGTAGTGTAGTGTATTGTAGTGTAGTGTATTGTAGTGTAGTGTAGTGTATTGTAGTGTATTGTAGTGTATTGTATTGTATTGTATTGTAGTGTAGTGTGTATTGTATTGTAGTGTATTGTAGTTAGTGTATTGTAGTGTATTGTATTGTATTGTAGTGTATTGTAGTGTAGTGTAGTGTATTGTAGTGTAGTGTATTGTAGTGTAGTGTATTGTATTGTATTGTATTGTAGTGTATTGTAGTGTAGTGTATTGTATTGTAGTGTATTGTAGTGTAGTGTATTGTAGTGTAGTGTATTGTAGAGTAGTGTAGTCTGAATAGTCTGAGTTGGGGTATTAAGGAAAAGTTAAATAAGTGAGAGCAATTAGGTATAAAAGTGAGAGCAATTAGGTGTGACCAAAAAGAGGCAAATTCTTAAAATGAATCTAATAATTTATTAATAACAGAAATCGCTTGAAACCAAATTAAAAACACACGACTAAAATGATTAAAGTTCAAAGCAGAGTCTCGTCCAGACAGGATCCAGGTTCATCGGCCTGGGCACAGAGATCAGGGCGCCAGTACGGATAGATGCAATAGGCTACAAAAACAAGGGGTGAAAGGTCTACAGCGAGCAGCGGCACTTATGCGGCTGACAGGGTTTCACCTGCCACTGCGTCTTCAGGCTTGGATTTCAACCGGGTCCTGCGAACTGAAATAAATATGCAAAATCAATAGGCATAAACCACACAAAAGCACTAGGCAGAAGTCCCCAGATGCCAAATTACAGGTTCTTCACTGGGTCTGCTTCTGTTCATATTATCTCATTTTTGGTAATAAAGACAACAAAACATAATAGCAAACCAGATATTTTATTGTTTTGTTCACAAAAACTGGCAGTGCCAGCACTGCCTTTCACTGTCTATAACATGCACATGAATAAGAGACACAGAAGAATATAATAAATAGTTTTTTTGAAAGTTGCTTCAATTTTCAGTCCATTTTTGATTACTATAAATAGTGGAGTTGAACTCAATTTAACAAAAAACACATGTACATTCACACAGTGACAGTTTACAGTATTCCTTTTATCCAAAAAGTTGTTTAAAAATACTGCATGAAAACAATGTAGTGCAAAAATGTTATTACGTTCACGTCAGATTAACATAGGCCTAGATTTTTATAGAATGAGTGTTGGACATCTTATGCAAACACTCAGAAATAACTTGTTATTGTAATAAATCTTGTACTGTTAATACGCTTAGAAGCCTTATCCAACAGTTTTTCTCTAACTGTTGTAATTTTAACTCCATAGTGGCAGGGGGGCCTGAAAGCCTGTTGTGTTCATGAGAAGCACAAACAGGACCCATTTCACAGGACTATCCTTGTGGGTCTGCTCATAGTCAGACCCACTCCACAGTGAGGCCTGAGCTTTCCTCGAGTAGGACCCACAAAGCTGAGGCAGGACTAGTCCTGTTTACTACAGAGGCCCTCAGTATAACCACAGCACCAGTGTTTTGTCTCTACACAGATGAGTGGGATCAGCTCTGAACAGTCCACACCTCCAGTTCCTGGACAATGAAGTCTTCATGAGTGGAAAGTGGAGCGTTGTGGAAAGTAGGACAAGAGAAGCTCGAACCACGATATAGATCTCCATCCAACCACAAACCAAAGCGGCCCCTAGAGGAAAAAAAATACAATAGAATTGAACTTACAAATGATTTAATTTCATCACTAGAACACCCAGAAGGTTCATGTGACTTGAAACACTTAGTGTACTGTAAACACATTTACCATATAATATATGTAGTAAATAACTGCATGTGGTTTTCCCAAGAGTGTAATTTTGCAAAGCCTCACGGTAATGTCAAAATCACCCTTTTACTTTCGTACCCTTTAAATGTTGACTTTAGGGTTAATTATCTGACAAATCATGTAATTCATATTTCTATAAGATATACAAACATATACATACAATAAAAAATTCTTGTACATACCCTCCTCCACCAATCTGCAAAGACTCCAAGTTGCCACTGATAAAGTAGGAATTTTCGCCAGTCCATTTGAACAACTGAAAATAATAGGACAACATAGGACACAATTAACACCTATGCATCAGTAAAGCACTAAAACTAATAATGTTTGTTACTAAAGCAGATTTTTGTACCTGAAAGTCAGGATTGAAACTGAACAAAAATGTCTCTCCTGTCCCATAGCAAATGCGACTGATTCTGAAGGGGTCCGAGCTGAAGGCACCAAACACCTGTCAAGTAAAGACAAGCAACTATAAATACCAGACAACCAGTTTAGTGCACAATTATTGTTGGGTAAGCTGCAAACCTTTTTGTGCATGTCTCTGATTATGAGGAGCACAGGGCTGTCCAGACCTGTCATGTTCCTGTACAGAGTCTTCAGGCTGCTCCCATGTACGGCGGTGCTGTAGACCAAATGCCATGGGTAACCCTGCGTTCTGGCTGGTAAATGAGCTGCAACCTGTAAAAAGGTAAAAAGTATTATTTAATGTACAAATATTTCTTTTGATTTACAAATTCAGTTTTATGCAATTAATGACAAATACTGTCAACAATCATGCCTATTTCTAATACTTTTTGCTTTTCGTAATACATACACAGTACAGTATACAGTTTTTAGATTTAGAAGTAATTCTGTTATTCATTTTACATTCCTTACTAGTGTACATCATTTTCTGTCCCTCATGTCTTTTGACTCGTGACTCCCTCATAACTTTTTCCCCTTAACAATATATCACTCTTACCTTTTCCAGGTGAAGATGGTCCAGAAGTAGACTCTGGTCACTCAAAACAGGAAGTGCATCCTCCAAATCCTCATGGTATTCTGGCTCATCTGACTCCTCAAAGCTGCTAATACTCGGGCACCGCTTGGGCTTTTTCACTGTGATGATCTGAAAGAGAATTCACATGTGGTTAGTCACACTCATTTCTACAACCACTTTTTACAGCTGAGATACAGTACACTCTGGTCAATGTGACACACCAACTACAACGAATATCAGCATCCATAATGTAATTTAAATGTTTTAGTTCCTACCTCCACATATGGCTCAATTGTGCCCTTGGCATAATAGAAAACCTTCATATTGTCTAGCTGCAGCTTCATATTGAAGTCCCTGTCTTTTACTTATTCATACAGAAGTACATGTGCACTTCTATTATAACCACCAAGATAGTTTCTATTTCACATGGCTTAAAAGTTATTGGTTGGAAATTCTGAGGCAGAGCACACCATTGGCTGGTGATAACACCGCAAAGTTTCATTTTCTTACACACAGGAAGAGGTGCTTTAGGAAGCATGCCCATATTTGTAGAGACCTTCCCGTCAATACTGTTCAAGGTAATGAGGGATGCATTTCTTACATGGCTCCTTCAGATGTGATTTTGTTTTTTCTCATTTTATTCTATCTTGAAAAATGCCAGATTTGTGCATTATTAATGTTTTGTCCTTCTAATTACATTAAGGTCAACTTATAAATAAGATGTTATATTCTAACAGTTATCCTTAGAGTTATTTTTACTTGAGTAACAGTTTTTCCCAAATATTTCCCAACCACCACTACTTTGTGCTTCTACTTGAGTAAGGAAGTAATGTTACTTTTACTCGAGTAAATTTTTTGGCAACTCTAACCACCTCTGTAAAACACTATTATATTATTTTTCATACCCAGTTTCTTGCAGCAGGATTCACTGAGTCTCTCAGTAACTTGTCGATCATAGCAGCTTTGTCCTGCTCCACAAACAGATAGTGGTTGTGATTCTTCTCTCGGATTAGGTACCTAGGCTTCTTGTTCATCTTATTGCATTTTGTTGTAAAGTCTGGAGACCATTGTGAGAAGAAAGTGTAAAGATGGTCCACCCTGCAGAGAGATGACATGTGGGTTAGGAGAAAGCCAAAGGCAACTTCCCAAAAGACTCTCGCTGCAGCACAGGAAGGAAACTGTTACAAAATCCAAATTCCTTTCAAAGGCGTTAGTCAGCATTTTAAAAAATAGGTCAGATATTTTATATAAAGTATTCAAGGCACATTAGGTAACTTATCTGGTGGAGGCTCTGCCATATGCTTGTCTCCATGGAGATATTATTGCTTTCCCGGAAAGTTACACAGCATGGCATTAAACATATCTTTCACATATTTTTATACAGGAGTTTTCTCACAAAACCTACCCTCAAAAACATGCATTCTTTCTGCAAGCTGGCTTTTATCTCCATACAACTTATAACTTGTGCACTGAACATGCACAGTAAACATGTTCAATGCACCAGTTGCTTACTGAAATTTGAATACATTTCTGTGCCAAAATTTTGGACAACATGAAATCAAAGGAAGTTATAATGTAAAAACTGTTGAATTACACTATCGGTGCAACTGAAATTTGGAAAGACTTGAAGTTAAATTTTAAGGTCGTAAATAAGAAAAAGGTTCTACATTAAGGTTGAGAACTCTGGTACTTACTCTCCAACACTGTAGGCGACTCCCATGGTTGATGCAGATGTTTGAACAGAAACTTTCTAATAAAGATGAAATGAGTAGTTTGTGCAGAGAGAGTTCTGTCGGCAGCATGTCCAGCAGGGACTACAGCCATTGCAACCCTTTATACTTCCAATCCAAATGCTGATATAAGCCCTTCTCCATAACTCCTCCCTCTCCTTCCCAGTACAGCATGGACCGAGCATGGCCTGCACGTATTCCTCGCCTGTTTCACAACTAAGACACAAAGCCAAAGTTTGTGACACATTAACTTGACCTGTGGTTCCTGTCCTGAGTTTTAGTGGGCTGCGGTCCATTTGTGTCACTGCAGTGCAACAGAGGAGATGGCTCAGCACTAGATAAGAGCAGTGCTTTACAGTCCTCATATTTAGGCCAAACGTGCAGACATTTTTAACTGTATCACAGCAGATATCTGAATGAAGTCCTGGTATCAGTGTGAGGGTTTAGTCTGATTACAGTTGTTAATTACATTGTAATTACTTTTCATGTTGATACTAGTCTCTTATATGACCCAAAAATTGTATTTATGCCAGGTAACTTCAGTGATTACCAGTTTTCTCTTTTTTAGTACTTAAAATAAATATTGTACTACAATATTACTATATAACTTTTCTGGTGGGCTGGTCCTCCAACTGCTTGTCTGCATATTATTGCTTTGTCTCGAATGTTCTGTACAGCACAAACTCATCTATCTTGCCAAACTGCAAGTATTTGTATTGCTAAAAATGCTTTTAAAACATGTATTCTTACTGTGAGTAAGGTTGCAATGATCTGACCTCAATCTTGGGCTGGTAGCATATCATTCTTGTCTCCTTGAAGATAATCATTTTCATTCTTTACTGTGGAACGTTCCAGACAAAACAATAACTCTCCATGAAGACACACTGTTGGCAGAGCCTCCTTCAGAAAAGTTACATAAGGCGCTGTTACTGTCTATCATTTTGAGGTTAAGACAAAAGCCCTTTTTATATTCATGAGAATATATCCATGCAAATAACACTTTATTCTTTTAGGTAAAGACCAACAATTAACCTTAATCCTCCTTTTATTACTCTGCTGTGATTAGCTGAAGGCTCAACAACCACTATTAAGATTGAATCAGGACATCAGACCTTGATATGTTTGTTGACTATTTATACATGATCAATAGCCAATGCTGCCAATCAAGCTCCATCAGTTTACAGTGTTGTCTATTATCTCTAACTACTAATGTTCAAATAGAATCTCAAACTTATCTGTGTCTTAAACCTGTCTCTATTTTTTCTGTCAACGCAAACATCTGAATCTTAGCAAAGAGCTAATCCTGTTTGTGAGGCCTTGTCCCCAGACCCCCTACCATCATCAATAGTTCTCATTTGGTTTCTGGAGAGGGTATTAGTCTTGTTTTTTGACCAAACTCTGATTCAGATGCCATTATGTCATTTTTGTCACTTGTATCTTGCATTTCAAAACATGTGAAATAATTTGTAACAGCAAAGGGTGGTCAGAACATGAACATTTATAGTCTAGTCAAGTTTATTTATAAAAGGGAATAGTTTTTTAAAGTTTTTTTAAATAGACTATGTTCCAATAAGTTGCTATGTTGCACCAGTAGAACGCCGAGCAAATGTCAGGCGGTGAAATTACAAAATAATTGCAGAGGGTAGTCTGTCCAATACAAACATGGATTTTCTGTTATCATGTCAGGAGGAGATACAAGAAGCACACTGTGAGGTCAGACACCAGTCATGACTTGTCTTTATTACAAAAGGAGACAAATTGATTTTAGAATGTGTTCGGCTTAACTCAAGACCAGATCAATATATTTAATAGGCCTACATGCTAAGAGACAGATACAATTCATGTCACATATGTAATAAAAACTATTTTATGTTTTGCCGACTTGTTACAAAAAATAACAATCACAACAAGAAAGTTGATTTGAAGGCCATTTCTATCTTACAACTCAATGCCCTGAGAACACTGTTTCTGAACTTTTTTTCTGGGGATCCATATTTTAAAAGTCACAAACCTTTGCCACCCAAGTCAATAAACATTATTAGTAAATAAAGGTGGATTTGACCATTATTGAACATTAATGAGGATATTTTATTGAGTGATCGTGTCTCTCTGAACAATTAGTATTACTCATGTTTTAAACAATGAAAAACCAGCAATAAAAGGAATCCTTAAGTCGCCTATTTGGACATAAAATGTAGACCATTTCTTTTTCTTTTCAACATTCAATTGAATCAGTAATACTGGAACAAAATAGTCAATAAAAGAATTACAAAAAGATTAGAAATTATACAAAACATGTGTTAACATTACAACATTTCTAATGACATAGGTGGACCTTTTTGCATTTTTGTAGCACTTTCCAGTCCGGAGTACAGGAGGAGAGCGCAATACACATATCGGGTGTGTAGGCAGAACTGTATATTGCAGACCTACATGCAAATCGTGACAAGGCAACCCCCCCCCCCCAAAAAAAAAAAAAAATTAAAATAAATCTCTTGTGACCCACCTGAGGGTTGTAACCCAGAAACAATACCTTAGAGGTGTATATTAGGTCTACAAGATGAAGTAGACAGTATAGTAAATAAGTAAGCTATGTGCCGTTTAAAAGGCTATAAAAGCTGCTTAGCTAAATCTCCCCCTTTATTCAAGAAACTATCCTTTGATTTTATGTGAAACTTTAAATTTCATATCCTGGGCACAGATAGAGTGGTCCATATTTGCCCTTTTCTCAGATGCTGTTGCTCCAGATAGAGCTAGAACCAGAAGAGACAACAGATGATGACAGTTTAGGACAGCCCAGTAGCCTTTGTAGTAAATGTGTTGGTTAACATTACTGCGCAGATATGTGTTCATTAGCCTACTTTAACTGTAACTGTTGTGTGTGAGAAAAAAGGAGCATAAATAAATGAAATGTAGGCTACAAATGTGAATATAGAAATATACATTTACATTCTGTTACTGTTACATTACATTATCTAAGGTTTTTAGATATTTGTAACAACTAATTTTGCTCCAGGAGGATGCAATTTAGGGATTTCAGTTTTGTCGTCGACATATTAGTTTTGTGCATGTTATGACAAAACAAAGAATCCATTGGTGTTTATCACTGAAAGAAACTGCACACAGACTCTGGTCCTTTAGAATCGATAGAAGGATGTTCATATTCACATTTTTATATTTTACAAATTCTAAGGTGGGCACTATAGTAGATATATGTAGCATTTGAGTACAAGTGTGAGCAATTCCGTTACAAGAACAATCATATGTTTGTAGGTCACGGATGTGCGGTTTAGGTAGTGGCTGCAGGTGGTTTTTTTTCCTGCTTTCACTTGAATTCCCCTCAAGTTGTACATCCGCTGTCTGCAAACCCACACTTTGATAATGTGCTTGCACTGAGAAATCAATCTAACCCCCGGACTCTCGGCACACAGGGTCATTCAAAGATCTTAGAGGTGAAAGTTTATCATGCCTGCATAGTCGAGCAGGGTTAGTGTAAATTTGAGATCTAAAATGCCATAAATTAAATGAAAGATCTGAATAACAAATGAGCTTATTGCCGATGGCACAGTTTTGTAATATTGCTTAGGAATACCTTTCATCGTGAATTTTGCCAGTTGAAGTTTAGTAATGTGATTTGTTTTCCTGCAAATGTTACTACTTAATTCAAGTAAAGGAATATTGGCATACAAAACCAAGTTAATTGTTGTGTATTTTCTGCTCACATAGGCAAATAATGGGCCTGTGGTTGTCACGGTGTATCTATGGCCTGCATTATGTGATTCTGTTCAGATGCATAATAGCACAATAAACATTCTTTTTATGAATGACAGATGCAAAAGCACAATAAATAAATTAGATTACATATACGTAAATGTGGAATTATAAAATAGACTTTTCTATAGTGCTTACTCTGCATTTTGGTGCTAGTTAAGTTTAATAGCATTCAGCAAAGTGTCACTATGTTGCAACCAGAGGCTCCGTAGTGTGGCCCATATCCAGGCACAAGGGTGCTGTGTCAGTCCAGTTAATCAGTCACGGCCCCTCACGCAGAGAGAGAGAGAACAAGAGAGAAAGAGAGAGAGAGAGTTACATTTAAAAGACTTCATAAAGATTCTACAGTAACCCACATTAGCAGGAAAGAGACGCATGCACCAAAAACCACTGTTAAGGAAATTGTTAACCAGGGGCCTTTCAGGAACATGTAAATGGGTTTTCCAATGCATGGAAACTTGCACAAAACATCCAATCAATAACTTGGTATTTAAGTTGGCTTTATTCATCAAGGACTTCAGACTGTAAAAGGCAAAGCTCTTGATTTACCAGATGATCTACGTTCATACTCAACTTTCACCTATCTTCATGGACTTTGGGTAAACCCCGAAAGGAAAAAATGAGTTTCCACCAACCTTAGTCACACAAGGAGTACTTGAGGTTCCCAAGAACTGGAGTGAGGTGTCGGGGTGAGGGAATTCTGCTTAGTCTACTGACCCTGCGATCCTGAATGAGCCTAAGAATATGGATGGACTTTGGGCTACTTTAGAGGCCATTCCCATTTGCATCACCACATTAAACTTGGGACTAAACTGAAACTAAATCAGGGACTAAATCAGGACTAGAACAGGACCAGACCACATCTACATTTGACTTAAAGTGGCCGAAAGCAAGTGTGAACATGTGTCTATCCCATCATATAGAGAACCTGCGTGTGACGTCACAGCCTTGCCCTGATCCACTTCCGGCGGTCCAGTATAGACCGCCATTGTAAAGTTGGCACAATGGCGGTCAATCCTTTAATTTTCACATTAAGACACATGGCGAAAAAGTGTTGCACACAGAGCTGTAATCAGCAGAGAGATAAAGACACAGGGGTTCAGGTGTATCGGATTCCGGTTGAAGCTGACATACGAGACAAGTGGAGCTGCCATCAGTGTGCCAAATACCCGTCAGTGTTCGGGGATCCCCATCTCCGAATTGTTGAGGTGCTTGTGCTTGTTTCACAGTCTGTAGTCTTTCTGTCAAAATTTAGTTTAAAGCAGATTAATACATTTTTATGTGAGGAAGAGCTGATTATTGTTAGAGCTACATAACTTTATTTATTAGGGACAAAAATCAATATTTAAATGTAAGGATATACAGAGCTGTTTCCAGTCTATAGTCCCTGGACAGATGTTCACTTTCATCCAAGAAATAAGTAAAATTTTCAAACCATGCATGTTTGTATCTGTCTCTTTACTGTATTTAAACTAATGACATAAGTCACACAAAAATAGGCGTGCACCTGGACAAGTAAAATGCATTCAGTATTTGTACTGATTTCACAGTTTACTTAATACAGGCCTAGTAATATTAGCGCTATACTGCTGTACCAACTACTTCTCATTTTTCAACTGTGACTACAAAATACCACTTCCTCCAGCTAGTCCACTAACTTCATGACATTTATTTTAATCCTCAACTGCTTTGCCTAGATTTTCATATTGGCATTCTTTATGTCATCTTCACAGATGTGGTACTGGACTCTTTTCTAAATCCATTGGGGGTGGGCGTGGCATCTCATTTGCCTCCAATATGACCAGACCAATCACTGGGGTCAAAGTTTGGGAACACTACGACTACGAGGGCTGCATCAGTCGAATCCACTGCATTGGAGGGTGCATTTAACATTTTACTACATCCTGTAACTTCTGTTTAAGGTGGTTAAAAAGGTGGTACAATGTGTCATGTGTTGTTTGACTGTTTTAATTGTGTTTCTTAATTGTTGTTTGTACAGTGTCCTTGAGTGCCCAGAAAGGCGCCTTTAAATAACATTATTATTATTATTATTATTATTATCGTGTAACTATTCTGGTAGAGGGTCTGCCTGCTGCTTGACTCCATGTTACAAGTCAGATCTGTGCAGGAGCGGACCTGCTCACAGAAATAATGCATGTTTTTTTTTGGAATAAATGTAATAAATAAAAAAACTTTAATTGAATAAATAAAAGATAAATATATTACAATAAATAAATATATTTGTTTAATGCCATACTGTGGAAAATCCCAGGCAAATATCAACTTGGAGACAAGTAGATAGCGGACTGTCCAGCAGAAAAGTTACACAGTGCACCTTTAAATGAAATATATAATGTTGCATTTTTAGCTTTCAGGAAGATATGATGATGAGAGGATCTATTTATTAATATTCGTGACCTCCAGAGGACGTTCTCTTTTTGCTGGCACAACAAATGGGGTCTGTACACTTGTCACATTTGCATTATTCTATTTCATATTGGCCATAAAATTCCTCATGTGTTCTAGGATGCCTTTAACTTCTATCCAGTGCATCCTGACTCAGAGCTGCAGATGCTAAGTGGACGTTACAATGGCGCATGCATCACTTCTCTGGCAGCTCACTGGGGATTGCCCTACGATGACAACTATAAATAAAACGACATGGTAGATCCAACCATATAATTTGCAAATGAGCAGAAGTTAGATCTGAATAAACACTGGCTGTGTGTTCTGAATTTCTTGTCCTGTAGCCTACCTCTTGTGATCTCCTCTGGTAGTTCAGGAAACCGCTGCTGCTTATATTACTGCCCCTGCGACACAGTCACCAAATAAGTGGAAGAAGATGGACGGACTTCAGACTGCTTTAGGGAGCATTCCCAAGTGACTAAACCAGGATAAGAACGAGACCAAACCAGGACTAGAACGAGAGAAATCTAAATTAGACTTAATGTGGCCCAAAGCAGGACAAGTTTGAATGCGTGTCTATGCCATCAAATAAAATTTGGACTGTACGATGTACGAACTGCACCCCACTGGAGTCAAGAAGAGGAAACAGATATCAGAGCATAAATTATTCCAATTCAGTCTATACTCCAGAAAAATAATCTGATGTGCTTTTTATCTGGCTTTACCATTCATAAAGTGCCATAATGCTCGTCACACATTAGAGGGGTGGTAATCTATTAACTATTGTAAATGATGTGAATAAAGGTTTTCACATTTATCTGGTTGTGGTGTCAAAAATCACAAAGAATCAAAAAATGTTGATATTTCTTCTCACAGATATTGTTATATATTTAATATCGTGACCTCCCTGCTCTTAATAGTTGGCTATTTTATGGTTTCAGATGGATTTGATGTTATCCTTTTATTGTAGTAATTGTCTTTTAAGCATGTGGAGACATTATGTGTATCAAATTAAATTTATGTCAGTCTGAAGTGACTTTGTGCCAAAAGTCTGACATAGCCAAACGTCACTCTCACTGTTGCACTTTAGACTGTCACGTAATGTCTTTGTAGAAAAGACTCTATACTACTGGTCTGGTTTTATACTGTCATTATATAAAGTGTGAAATTTAGGATAGGTCAATCTACTTGAAGTAAAAATCCCATTATGTATTGTACCCTGTATCTTTTCCTCAGGAATGTTAATGAAATCCCTAGTCCTTGAGTTTTTGAATAATGCTATTTTAAATTAAAGTCCTTGTATGTCAGTGGAAAAAAACTTTGGGCTAAAGGTGCATGACTGCCTTCACATAAATTTAAAGTAAAAAGTACCCCATTCTAATCCCTCTGCTGCTAAATTACTACTACTACTTATTACTACTATAAAACTGGAATTGAGGAGCTATCTAATCTTTGAAACAGTGGGCTTGTTAAATGTCAGAAAATATTTAAGTAACCTCTGAGATGAGAAACAGTAGACTCTGAATGTCTAACAAGACCCCTCCCAAAAAAATCACTCTGATAGTTAGGTCAAATTTTTAAAACTTTAATTATCCATGGGTGTAAGTGGGTTTCTAGTAATTAAGTAAAGTTTATTTACATAGCGTTTTTCACAGACTTAAAGCCGCCACACACTACAGGAGAATTTGCCTGATTAGGATGTGATTTGGTTCTCCCCAAGTTTATGGAGGAGTGACCTGATTCTGTGTCTCTGTGTGCGATTTTGAAGCCGCTGCACTCCTCGTGTGTGTAGTGTCAGTGTGACTCTGAGCTGCTCTGTCAGATCATAACAGTAAATCAGAACGTCAGGGGCAGACAGAGTGACGGACACACCGGCGCAAGATACAAACTCAGGAAAGAGCGAAAATAACTATAGGCTATTGCTCACCTTTTGTAGAGTTGTAATTTTAAACCGCGGCATCATATTCACATTATCCATTAGAACTTCTCCTTCGCAAATACACCCAGTCCACAAAACATCGCTATTAATCCAGTCTGAAGTGCTCTTTAAAATTAAAAAGGTGATCGAAACTCTGCTTCCTGTGTACTTTATCGCTAACCATCTGTGCATCGGAAATCATGTATCTGAAGTACTGAACCACATTTCACAAATAATAATAACAGTTTTGACTTGCATCTAAACTAGAAGTGCAATGCTCTGATCTGTTGAACACTTAAGTGTCGTGTAGACAGGACTCGAGGTGCACTTATATCAACTCTGGACATGTTCTATGGTCACGTTTTAGCATGCTGCCAAAAACTGGCAACAAAACAACATCATTATCTGATTCAAAAGAACACAACAGGCACGTATTCTCAGATAGGCTGTTGCCCTGTAAACTTCTGTTGATTAGTAAGTTTGACCCATTTTACTTTTAACTGTCACCAGAAACTTCCAATAGAACATTTCAAGATTAAAATGTTCCACAGCATTAAAACACAGGATTAAACTAGATTTGCTGATGCAGTGTTTATGTTGAAGCTTTGGCAAATTTTTGTCAAAAAAAATCACATAAATAGACTATACTGTCAATCAATGCATTACTGTCTCCAGGGTTTGAAAATAATTTTTGTTTTAATTCAAAATGGGGCCAGAAATGAAATAGGAATAAATGAAATACTGGAGGGATAAATGGCTGTTCTTTATTGTCCTGGACATTGGTGTCATCTGGTGGCAATACTTTAAATAACACAAATAGATTTCATACTTATGGTAAGTTCATTTGAAGGGCAGGGGACTATATAAACCTGTTTTTGAAACAAACACTCAGTCCATCCATAAATCTTATCCCTTTCTTGTTGTGGATTGGATTGACAAATCATAATAATATGTCATAATAATAATGTGTAAATGTTCTAAAAGTGAAAACAAAGCCTTTGTGATGCAATAAGGCCACCACAATAATGTCACCTTATATTTCATGTATGTTTGGAGAAAATGTTAAATTCACACGCAATAAACATTATGCTGAATGTTCCTACTGACAGAATCAGCCATGACTTTTTTTTTTTCAAAAAAGTTATCTGTTGATCTGGTACCCACCCTCTGCTTAGGAAGCTTTTGATTCTACTATAATAGGCCTGCAACTGTATCACTATATTGTCACATTCTCACATGTCTCATGCAGTGTATGTACCACATATGACAATGAGAAAGAGGATGGGCATGGCTTCTCTCCTTATTTTGTCCTAAATCTTTCCTATTTTCCTATAAGTTTAACTTGGAAATACATTCATTTTATTTTTCAGAACAATGTTGATAATGCATTGTATTGTCACTGTGTCCAAAAAATATCTCTTGTGAATCACTGAAGTTTGTCTTTGTTCCAGCGTGATCGGCATCGCACAGAACGATGATCCAGTCTCTATGTGTTGCCATACTTTTTGTCAGCTGTGTAGCCAACAGTAAGTCTAAATTTTTATATTTTTGTATTTGCAGACTTTTTAGGTTATCCAGTTGCTTGTTTCACAGTCTGTAGTCTTTCCATCAAAATATAGTTTAGAGCAGACTAATACATTTTTATGTGAGGAAGAGCTGAGTATTGTTAGAGCTGGGACAAAAATCAATATTTAAATGTAAGGATACCAGAGTTAGCTACAGAGCTGTTTCCTGTCTATAGTCCCTGGACAGATGTTCACTTTCATTCTAAAAATAAGTAAAATTTTCAAACCATGCATGCTTGTATCTGTGTCTTTACTGTTATATTGTTATGTATATTATATGTGCAGCTTTGAAATAAATATTCTAACTAAACTAAACTAAAATTATAGTTTAAACTGATGACATAATTCACACAAAAATAGGCCTACTACACTCATACAGAGTGCACCTGGACAAGTAAAATGTATTCAGTATTTGTACAGATGTCACAGTTTACTTAATACAGGCCTACTTCTCATTTTTTAACTGTGACTACAAAATACCACTTCCTCCACCTAATCTAACTTCATGACATTTATTTTAATCCTCAACTGCTTTGCCTAGATTTTCATATTGGCATTCTTTATGTCATCTTCACAGATGTGGTACTGGACTCTTTTCTAAATCCATTGGGGGTGGGCGTGGCATCTCATTTGCCTCCAATATGACCGGACCAATCACTGGGGTCAAAGTTTGGGAACACTACGACTACGAGGGCTGCATCAGTCGAATCCACTGCATTGGAGGGTGCATTTAACATTTTACTACATCCCATAACTTCTGTTTAAGGTGGCTTTTGTTTTGAAAAAACTGAACATCAGCATGGTTTTGACTGTAGACAGAACCTGTATCAAATATTTCTGACACAAATTTAAATTGCTATTTTTCTTTACAGAATCCAGTTTCGCTATGACACTGAATGGTCCGATGTAACTGGGCGCACACATGGCATGACACAGGAGATTGAGCTGTTTGATGAAGAGTTCATTATCCAGGTAAGACATACATGTTTTTGTCTTTCTATAGGTGACAGAAAATTCCAAAACATGTTCTTAAGATGTGAGAGTAAAATATAAATATTTTAGTAATATACCAACTTTTGCTCAACATGAAAACTTTTATCTCAGTGTCTGTTTACATATCAAAAATGTTACAGCTTAATTCTAGTTCTGGTCATGTGTCATTGTCCCATACAAAGCAAAAAGCTAACTTTTAATAATTTTTTTTATATTAAATGCGCACTGTCAAAACATGTATTTAAATTAGCCTACCCCGATTAATCCACTGATGTTTTACAACCTGTTCTGTATTGTTTGACTGTTTTAATTGTTTCTTAATTGTTTTTTGTTGAAGGCACCTTTAAATAACATTTTATATAATGATTTATTATTATTATTATTATTATTATTATTATTATTGTTGTGTAACTATTCTGGTCGGGGTCCGCCTGCTGCTTGACTCCGCTTCTCCATGTCTGTGGAGAAGCGGACCTGCTCACAGAAATAATGCATGTTTTTTTGCAAAAAATGTAATAAATAAAAAACCTGTAATTGAATAACATACTGTGGAACATCCCAGGCAAATATCAACTTGGTGACAAGCAGATAGTGGACTGTCTAGCAGAAAAGTTACACAGTGCACTTTTAAATGAAATATATAATGTTGCATTTTTAGCTTTCAGGAAGATATGATGATGAGAGGATCTATTTATTAATATTCGTGACCTCCAGAGGACGTTCTCTTATTGCTGGCACAACAAATGGGGTCTGTACACTTGTCACATTTGCATTATTCTATTTCATATTGGCCATAAAATTCCTCATGTGTTCTAGGATGCCTTTAACTTCTATCCAGTGCATCCTGACTCAGAGCTGCAGATGCTAGGTGGACATTACAATGGCACATGCATCACTTCTTTGGCAGCTCACTGGGGATTGCCCTACGATGACAACAACAAATAAAACCACATGGTAGATCCAACCATAAAATCTGCAAATGAGCAGAAGTTAGATCTGAATAAACATTGGTTGTGTGTTCTGAATTTCTTGTCCTGTAGCCTACCTCTTGTGATCTCCTCCAGTCTTGGTAGCTCAGGAAACTGCTGCTGGCGTAGGACAGAGTGGTGAGGAAGGCAAAACACTGCAAACATATGTACATAGTTAAATACTATTGTCATATTATCAGGTAATGCGTTTTAGTTAAACATTAGTCCTCTTACAGCCGATGCAGCCCAACATTTGAAATTGTGGCGCCCTCTAGTGGCCTCATTCACAGTAGCAGTATTCACGACTGCTGCTATCAGGTACAATGCCGTGGCAGAAGCGTTCACACAGAGGGACTGAGGACACACAGCAAGACACATGAAGGTCACACCAGCTCTGACCTGTGTCTGTGTGCCCATTTAAATTTTGATAAAATAATACATGAAATACTGCGAGTCATTTTATGTGCATACAGTGTTAATGTGTGAATGGTTTAGTGATAAGAGTAGCTGCAAACATCAATCAAAAATACTTCAGTGCCATTAGTTAATATTTTTGACCTCCAGACAGTGATGTATGCCATATATGCATGATTACAATCCATATTTTCCTACAGGAGCTTCCTTAGGCAGTTAGGATTGAACTATAACATATAGGCAATTATTATATAGTTTTTAATTGCTCCTTGAGCATAAATAAAGTGACTGAATTGAACTGAATAGGTAGCTCATCAATTTAGGTTTTGTTCATTGTAAATCACAAATATGATCTTAATAATATGATATTTGAAATTAAGAAATGGGTTAATTGATTTCAGTTCAAAACTGCAGAATTGATTGTCTGCTGCTTAGTTTAGTTTTGTTTATTTATCAGGGGCAATGCACAAAAAAACATTGATCTACACTGAGAGATAATTTATTTGTGTCAGGTAATAGCAAAATTGCTCATTTCCATTTTCCATTTGATTATACATAATATGTCTCCTTTAAAAACAATGTGGCCCTCACCAGTGTAGTCCAGGGGATGTGTGGGGCCCTGGTTGGCACTCCAGTCAAGTAAATGATAAACAGACTGAGGGTGAGAATCCAACACAAGATGGCGACAAACATCACCCAGCAGAGAGCCGGCAGGTGGAAATAGTCTGTACCTCCAACTAGGATCCACACCAGGAGCCCAAAGAGCTGCAAGAGAGTTACAAGGCTTTGAGCTCTGTAGTGGTGTGTACTCAATTTTGATAATGAACAAGATCATTGAAATTTTCAATATGTAAGCAGCCAAACTGATGCAGTAGTAGACTAGTGGTGTAGAACAGATAGAATGTACATCAAGAAAGATGAAGAGATGAGAAAGCGTGTGCTCATGTGTGTATGTGTGTGTCTGTGTGTGTGTGTGTGTGTGTGTTTGCAAGTACAATCCATGTAGATTTTTCAGGTGATGTAAAGCAACATCATTTCCATAGATATTAAAAAGCTCTGACGTGATGACATCATAATGGCTACAAAAATAAAGAAACTTTTATTTGGGTCAGAATGTCAGAAGAATGTCAAAAATCAAGACCAAAAAAAAAAACCCAAACAAAAAAAACTGAAATATTAAATATATGATTAAAAAATATTAAACTACAAAATTAAGTAAAAACTATAGCAGTGCAAATACAAATCTTTATACACTAATGATACATTTATTCAAAGAGTCACCCTAAATTTGGTGGGTTTTGGGTTGACGAAAACATATCTTAAAATTCTCATCATGTGAATCATGTAACTGTTATTATTTTTTAAAAATCACGTATCCCATTGAATTACAAAAAATAAATTGTTCAAGCTACCTTTCTTATGGTATGGTCTCATTGGGCCCTCACTGTATAAATACACTGTATAAATAAAGATAAAGGAAACTGTCAGTAAGAGTTTCAGGCAGGTTTGTGCCAATGCGACCACTGTACAAAAGTCAATACACATACAATAACTAAACTGTTCATTTTGATAGCGCAATTTAAAGTGAAAAACAAATGTAGTAGTTACTAGCAAGAGACTTTTAGTCTACTAGTGACTTTAGTTTCAGTGGCGACTGATAATACAATTTCTTAGTTTAACGATATTTTATTTACTGGCTTTCTGAACAAACTTACCATTCTTGTTTTGGCAAAAAGAAGAGTAACCAATTGTATGTGACCCAGGGCCAGGCTCTATTTACAGAAAGCTTTTCCTTTAGCTGCTCCAGAGAGGAAGAGACACATCTAGTAGAAATTTGAATGTTGTTTTTGATTATTTTTTCCTCAATTAATCAAAATCCATAAAGATGGGAGGATATGTTAATGATCGTGATCAAATTATTTTCTGTACAATCTTATGCAATAAAATGTACTTTTATTTTTCAACAAAACATTCATTAAAATTTCCATCACACTTACGATTTCAGCAATCAGAAGCAGTCCCTTGGGGGTCACGATGACAGGTTGGTTAAAAGTCACAGTGGAAATGCTGTTTTGGGGGGATACTGGACCCCTCCAGGTGGACCCGACAGCTGCCCCGTCCATGGCTGTGCTGCTCTCTGCTCAGTCTCCGTGTGGATGTGGACATTGTTGCTGTTACAGAGGAAGTCCTGTCCCGGAATCACACAGGGACGCCCTTGGACTGATAAAGTCTTTTATTTAGATTTCTGTGATTGAAGGAAATGGGAGTCCTTAAAGCTTTTGTTTCTCTCACAAAAAAACAACTTGCTACAATAACTTAAAATCTAAATATTACTTTTCAATTGGACGAATAACTTATTTGTTAAAAATGTATTTCAACTTCAGTAAATAAAATCAAACATTTCTACAGTTACCTGTTCTCCTGTTAACTAAAGTGAGTTTCTTCCACTAGGGAGCAGTATCTACATACAATAGACAGTGACAGAGTTTTTACTTATTTATTTGCATGTGTATGTGTGTGTGTGTGTGTGTCTGTCTGTACGTCTGTGTGTATACATTTTAATTACATTTTACACTTATTAAAGAATAATATTTATTGCTCAAACATATACAGAATATTGAGCCATGTATTAATGTCTAAACAAGATGAAAAGTCCTTTTATGGATACTATTTATTATACAAATAATAAACAACATTGTTGGCTTATTATTATTAGTTTAGTACATAGAAAGATTTGTCATTCTTTGAGAGTAATGGATCTTCTATGCAAAGTGCCCACTGGATTGTCACTGCAAGTATTGGGACATATTTGTGATTTTAGCTTTGATAATAAAAAAATTACCTCAATTTAATTGTCTCACTTGCTTACTTACTAGAACGATTTCCTTGCAGTCATCATCCCAGCAAAATATTTGCCTATGCCCTGATTTGTAAAACTCAAACTTATAAATGTGCTTTCATCCTGTATTTATTCACTCCTCCAAAAACATAATCATGTCATGCAAAATTAAATTGTAAAGTAAAGTATCAGGAGAGAGCCTGATTGTCAGTCTGCAGTGAAAGCTGTTCCTTATTGAAAATGTATGGTGTATCATGAGAGGAGGCTGTAGACTGTTGAGCAGCTGATGCCTTGTGTCCAGGATAAAGGCATTATTGTGATCATTCTTTGTCTATAGAAACCTTCAGTTAGCTTAATGTTAATTTATCTCACTATAATTATAGTAGTATTATAGTAATGTAGTAGTGACCCACTGCTCTTTTGTTTACTTTTTTGATAATGTTTTATTTTTTTTAATCATTTTTTCTGGACATTTGGCACATCCTGCCAGTGACGTGAAGTTATTGACATTTACCATGAGTGGTTTTCAGAAACTAGAATGTCATGACATTAGACTCTTAAAGGAGAGAATCACATACTTAGTGCATGTGAATGGATATTCACATGCATAACATTTTTATATGTGCACATGCTTTACAAATTAGATCCCATTTGTAAAGGACTCAACCAGGACAAGAACAGGACATGACAAAGTCTACCTTTGGACTTAAACTGGGCTACTACTTGGACAAGAAAGGAACCATGTGGACACATCTTACACAGACTTGTACTGGTCCACATATGTCCTTGGATATGGCTGTCTTAGCAAGTCCCCATATGACTTTATAAACATGCCCACACACACCGACCATAAAACATGTGTGCAAGCCCAGATGCTGCACTGTAATTGGCTGCTGTGGCTTCCTGCTGTGGCAAAGATATTTTTAATGCTTAAAGACACACAAACACACACATACACATACACACACACAGCCTCAGCTGCATCAGCTACACTCACGACCATAGGCCTGTTTAACCACCAACCAGGAGATCGAAGTAAAATGATGGGGTTGTTCACTTGAACCTCACTGCAAGTATAGTTTTAATGTCCCTCTCTGTTTTGCTTGGACTCTTGCAGCAGGGCTGAGGCAGATGTCCTGAAATAGTGCTCTGACCACATGATCACTTGTATTTCTACCATAATAACATTAACATGGAGGCAAGAGAAACTAATTCAAAACTTTTAAATAAAAAATGTCAGCATTTCATAGATACATTTAAAATTGACAGCATTTAATTATAATGTTTCAGATACCACACTGGCCCTTAATACAGATACACTATTCTAAAATGAAGTTTATCATTAACAATGGCATAAAAATCTAAATTCAAGTCTGATGGAACCAGTTATTATAGAGGAAAATGCAGATTTATTGAAATAGTTATAAAATTAATGACCACAAGGTACTGACCAAAGTCCACTCCAAACTTAAAGTGTCTGTATCAATGCTGTTTATTTGCTGTTATAAATTACTCAAGATACTGTTGCTTTAAGACACTTTTCACAACTTGCATAGATCATGAATTATAAGCATCTTTGTTTATTATGGAAAATTTCAAAGGCGTGAGCTCGTCAATAAACAGCTATGATATTTAATCTCTGCTATGAGGTCAATGTACGGCACTGTAATAATGTATTCAGAGTGAACTCTTCATTAAGGGCCCATGAAGAAGATGCACCTGCAAACTCAGTGTTGAGAAAGTGAAATTTTCTATATCAAAACCTGGGATATGGTGTGAAATTATGCCTGGTTTATTACTTTTCTCAGGTAACACTATTACTTTTAGTCAGATTATGCTATCATCCAACCACATGTGGTTATTGCTAACATAAATTATCTACGCAATGATCAATCCTGATTCCTTGTCACGTATAATCATAAAGGTAAAAATTTGAAAATATGTTCTTAACTTCCATTAGACTGAAAATATAATTTACTGCTGCATACCTTGCTCTCCATCTTCTAAACTGATTTGATATTATTGATGAACATTATGCAATTAAGAAGGTGGTTTACTCAGTATTGTTTCTGAAGCTCTTTTGCTAATGAAAATAGAGTAATTGCTTTGTCTGGAATGTTCCACAGTACAGCATGAAACTTGTCTGTTGAGGCAATCAGGTGCCACCATCAGGTCAAGTTACAGGTCAGATCAGTGGAGATATGAACACATTCACAGTAAGAATTCATATTTTCCTATGTAATTTTGAGCATTAAAACACTTTGCATGCAGGGTAAGTTTAATGCTATCCTGTGGCACATTCCAGGCAAAGCAATAACATCTCCATAAAGATAACCAGGTAGAGGACCCTCCACCTGAAAAATTACAATGTGCACTTTTAAGGATATTTATTTCTTCCAAAAAGGTGATGTTTTGTGTCTGGCCTTGGACATCCGTTTCCTTTGGCCTTCCTTCTCTGGTAGAGAGAGTAGAGATAGACAGGGGGCTGAGGGTACAGAGAAAGAGAGACTGAGAGAGAGAGACAAACAGAGAGAGAGAGAGAGAGACAGAGAGAGGTGGAAAGGAAGGGAAAGGAGGGAGAGAGGGAGTGAGGGAGAGAATGGAGAAAGAGAGAAGGAGAAGGGCGATGGATGTATCAAACACTAGCCCCCTGCTGAGTGGGGAATGGAAAGCTGCTGGCACCCACATGAATATTTCAGCAGCAGATATAACGCTCCCTCTCTCTCTGCCTCAGTCTGTCACTCGCTCGCTCCGTCTCTCACCTTTCTCTCCCTCCTTCACCCTCACACCCATCTCTCTGTTCTCCCTGCCACAGTGGACGGTCATAATGAAGGAGAGTGAACACAATTCTGGTCTAATCCAAAACAATAACAACAGAATGTTCTATGCAAAAATTTTAGTACATATTTTAATATCTTCTCAATCTCTTTTTTTAATTCCCTGCAGTAGCAATTTTAGAAAGATTTTGCATGATTGAAAAAATATATTTACTAAAAGAAAAAGGCATTTGTTTCTAAAATAATATTGTGAATGAAATTGTAAGAACTTTGCTTTTTTATACACACTCACACACAAATTATTGTACACTTTTGGACTGGAACTGACCACATATATTACCTCCCACTTGTACTCTCTGGCCTGCAGTGAAACCAAATACAAAGTAAGAAAGGAAGAGAGTTCCTCTAGAGACTGATAGAGATTTTTTTTTTTTATTCTCAATAATTAATCCAGTCTTTGCAAAAATGCTGTTTAATTTTAGAAACAACATAGTCCTTTCAAAACATATACACACATTCATACACCCAACCAAAAAGACTGGCTTTTTTGGAGCAACACAACTATTCACATATTAGTAGTACAGAAGTAAAAATGTCTCTATATTTTGGCAGCAACAAAGAATAATAAACTGTGCCAGAATTCTGCTAACAGGAAAAGAGGACACTAGAAAAATGCATCATAAACAAAGCAGTCCACTAAAATAGCATTAAATAATATTGAAACTAACCACAATATAAGCTTTTAACACATTTAACACATTTCATTTTGGATTTTAGTTAGTAATTAATAGAAACACAAATCTTTAATTCTGTGTTTTGAGATTAAAAAATAAATAAATAAATAAAAATTGGTAGAGACTAGTCTTTTATATTTTACCCTACTTTATTTCAATTTGGCTCTTATCATGTAGCACCAGAAACAAGTAAACAAAAACAAATAATTCCAGTGTTGATAATGAAGTCTCAATCACCCACCAGACTCATGTGTTATTTTGCCAGCACAGAACAGAACTCATAAATGTCAGGGGTAAATGATTTTTTTCTATTTAGCTCCAAAATACTTACAATAATATAAAAAACTAAAATTCCTTGCAACATCCAATGCCTTCAGTGTATGTATGTTTGCACACGTGAGCTCAGGAAAACAGTGTATATTTATGACTATTCACACTTATAATAGTTAGTGTATGCCCTTGGTTTTTGACCGTCCAGCCAAATGTACTTAAAGTAACTCTTCATTATCAGCGATGTGTTCAAGTGCCCAGTCTGGAGCTGGTGAGTTTTTCCATCTGGAGATACGGCTGTCATCACACTGGCCTCAGAGATTGCCTCGGGACAAAGATATGGACCAAACCCCGATAGATGTGCTGCTAAATATGAGGGAGAGTGTGTGTGGTGAGCAGATAAGAGCTAATAGGTCTGCTATATTTGTAACTTAAATTAGATTTAGTATGACATTTTTGATTTCTCAATTGACCAAGCCGAAGCTGGATGGGCACATTAAATGATAACAATTATATAATCTTCTATATGCATGCTACTACCATACTGTTCACGTACACCAGCTTTAGTTTCACAGATTTCATTGCATCATTTGTGTAAACACCCTCTTAAAGCTGCATGGTGTAACTTTCTGGTCTGGCAGCATGGAGATGTTGTTACTTTGCCTGGATAGTTTAATATTACACTTATCTTTTTCCATGGAGAAAAGCACCATGGCAATTTACAGATCTGAACTGTGGAGAGGTGGGCCCGCTTACAGCAGAATGCCTATTTTTCAAGGTATCATTTTTGCCACAATGTGGTACATTCCGGGGAAAGCAAACTACGTACCATATCTCCATTGACACAACCAGGTACTACATTTGCACCAGAAAAGTTACATAGAACACCTTTAAATCTAGGTCTATGTTATTATTCACATTGAAATAAATAATGATAATGCCAAATTCATCTTCATACTCAGAGGAATAAAAGATTGTGTATCAATTATAGTGGAGAAATTGAGCCAGGCTTGGTCAGGACCTTGGTTGGAGAATTTTTCCTCTTTTCAATGGCTGATGGGGGAAACTGGAAGAAATTCTACATAGAAATGCATGGGCTGCCCAGGAGTTGAACCCAGAACCTTCTTGCTGTGAGGCGAGAGCACCAGCCACTCAGTCCATATACATTTCTATATTCATGCATTGTATTGGTCACTCAACTGTGTCCAGGTGGTAAATCGCCTCCTCTCACACACCAGTGGACAGCAGCCTGCAGCAGCCTGATAACACAGGAGTAAAGCTGTGGTGTCCACTTTACTGAGCTGAACTGTGTAACCTGTGGAGCATTATGAGTCTATGAGGGTCTGTCTAGTGAGAGAATCCTACTGCCAAGGTCACCAAGGTCCTCTGCAGTGGTCAGACAGGTCAATCCTCAGCACTGCGCGGGTGAAAAGGCTATACATATGAACTTCTGAGATCAGGTCTATGAATGTATTTCATTTTTTCAACAACAAATGTATTTATTTACACCATTTTTGTACACTGGCTGTTTTATGGTCTTAGTAGCAGCAAATGCTACTTTTTCCAAATAGGATGTGAATGGTACAAATAACTTGCAGTATCATGGTGTTAATTTGGATGAATTAGGCCCATATTACCATATATCCTGATCTATTTTATAATGTTGTTTCCTTATCAAAAACATACCTGGAGTTGTGTTCTGTTTCATTCACACATGTTTAACTCACAAACCCTGCATATTTAGGCTGTGTTTTTCTCTCAAACAAAAAACTCTAAGCTCCACTGTGTAATATTGGACCTTTAATACAAATGAAGGTATTCCCTAAAGGCACATCTTTAAACTCTATCCACTTGTAGCATCAGGTTACTGTTCTACAGGTCAATCGATTTATGTGTTTCTGATGCTGTGAAGCTGTTTGTAAATATATGTTTGATTCTAGACATCTTTGTAGATGTAAGTACTAATTAGAAGCATATAGTTTCTTATGAATTTTTCTACATAACTTTATTCTGTAACACATTAACCACTAAATAACCAAGTAATCGCTGGTAACTGTAATCACAACATACAATATTTTTATGCACACTCTTTAGGTATATTTTTTTCAAGAAAACATATGCTTTTCCATATTTCTTTTGTTTTGTTGTTCTTAAATTACACAAAAATGTCACTGCATGTATTAGCTAGTCAAGTTTATTTTGATAGATGGTCGGTTTTTTCCCTCATGTGTATGTTCAAAAGCAGCTCTGACTGATGGGGAATTCCTCAAACTTTCCCCATAAACCTCAAACATGAACAACTGGCTAATTCTCCAGGTACAGATCGTCAAATCACAAATCAGGTCCACTGCTCCTGACAGCCCAGTGGTATTACATGGATCAAATTCATACAAACTTCCCTAGCTGAAAGGGCATCCAACAAAATGCACTTATGGGTCGACCTGTCATCATAACAAATTTTCAAGCATGATATATCGCTACAGAGAAATATTGCGAAAAAGGATCATATTAAAACTACTTTATGCCATTAACACAAAGCAGGATAAATCCACAAGCAGGATAAAAAGCATGAAGCAGAAGGAAGCAAAAATTTGCCTGTTACAACCCAACTCCTTGGGGTGAGGGAAGTAACAAAAAATATCCAAGATGTAAAATGGGATAAATTAAATAATGTTTAATTAACAGGGATGTAAATTACAAAACAGACTAAAATATACAGAAAATAACCTATACTAAGAAACAGAACAACAGAATTACACAGTTTTGTGCCACAAAACGGGTCATGCAGGCTTATACAAAAACAAGGTTAAACTAGGGAACACACACAAACTAAAACACAAGTGCTCCAAAGTAAACCACATAAACCCACAAACAGAATCAAGTGACCAAATAAAAGAAGGCACAAAACAGACACACATAAACACAAAATGGCATACTGGCCACCAGCAGACCAGAACAGCTGCTGGCAATCTCCTTAAATAGGGGAAGAAGGCTGGAGGTGAGGCAGGATTGGCCAGGTGTAGATGTGCTCCACCAATCACAGGCCGGGGCTCCCACAGCAGGATTCAGAACAAACAGCAAAATAATTTAAAACACATACAACAAAGTACAACTGAAGGCCTGGGGACGTAACATAGCCATAGTTATTTATAGTTATTTATGAAGTTATTTATTCTACCCTCTACAGCTCAAATCTGACCTTATTACACAAAATGTCAAAAATCTTTCCACTATTTAAAAGAAAATGTAGTACATATGGTCAATACTGAGCCCCAAAATATATTAATCAGGCTATCATATATTGAACAATAAGTCGATATAGTATTTATCATGACAGGCTTACTGATGGGGCGTTGTCTGTGTCCATCCTTAAATGTCAAAGTGACAAATAAACAAATAAATACAATCTTACACATGATCAGCAAATTCTAAAAGTTACATTTCTGTGTGAACATCAAGGGCTGGTTGTATCGAACAAGGAAGTCAGACCAGAACAAATCCCTCCTCCTCTTCCTTCACTGATGCTTGGAGAAGCAGTAATGATCCATGTATAATGCAGGGCTAATGTTGGTGTCTTTCACAGTGATTTTAGCCTGTGTCTGCTTAAAGGCCATCACTGCAGGCCATCAGCACAGCACTGGCTCAATGTAAATGTCAGCAGTCTCTCACAGGGAGACAGTACATCCTCATATGTGTGTGTGTGTGTGTGTGTGTGGGTGTGTGTGGGGGGGGGGAGTCTGCTAGGTTCATAGGAAATAACAGTAGAACCAACATTGTCCAGTGTGTTGACTGTAAATATTTATATAAGCTTAAACCTCTAACATTGATTCCCTCTATCTCTGACATCTATTGGCAGAGATCACTTACAGACTCTACCCCTTTTAGTACAACTAACTATTAATAATTCATGTTTTAAGAGGCGTCACTGTGGATTTAACAGTTTTTAAATATTCATATGATACTCTATTGTCTGAGTATATGGCAATAAGAACATCACAGATAAATATGATAAATGTGATACTATGAGTACGGCAATGTTTTTATTATTTTAAAGCTTCACACCAACAAGAAATGTATATGGAGTGGGACGAGGTACAGTCAGTTTGGTCTGCACCCAGGCCTGAAGATGAGACTACAACTGATCTAATAAAGGCTGTTTTCAGTGGTTTGCCAAATTTACATTTACATAAAAAGTTAGATTAGAATATTAAAAAACATAGTTAAAATAGTATTCTAATGGCAACATATTTACATTTTTTTTTTGGTTAGTATTTGTGGAACATGTTAATTTCTTTGGGAAACATGTACTTGAGTTGATATTTCCAGCAGATACTAGAGCCATCCATCATTCATCACAGAGCGTTGGCACGTGTCATGAACCTTGAACATACAAATCAAATATTTACAAGTGTGTATGGCTCCAGTTTTGATTTTTCTACAAGGTCCTCTTACAAAATTCTCTCGCTGGCCTGGTCTCGGGAGCCTATATATTTTATTTAAAACTTTATTCATCAGTATACTTACATATTAAATGCCATAATTTCTGTCTAGCCCAGTGTTTTTTCATATGCATACTAATATAGCATACTAATTTAGATCTCATTCTATTCAGTATATGTAGTACTTGCAATGTGCAATACATTATTTAATATGACAAAACAGGCTTAAAATAAAGAGTAGTTCCTGCTGTGCTGCCTATGAAAAACTACCACACCAAAAATAACATAACATCCACATTTGCCACACTGGTCCACCTGCCTGCCCATCTCCACAGATTTTGGTTGATAGTTTTGTAGATGAACCTGAAATGCATTTTTATTGTTTGACTGGGCTTGAGAAACAGTACTGAAATATGTGTATACCTTTTGAAAAGACACCAAAATGGCCGACATAAACAGGAATTAAGTCTGAAATGTATGATTACTAGTTTTTAAACCATTTGGTTTAATACAGCATTTGTTCAGCTAGACTCAGGTTGAGGTTGTGTAAAAACATTTGGAAACTGCCTCTTCGATCCTGTGAGTGCATTGCGTACTTATATGGGGCCTGATGGAGTGTGTGGCATCCTGGGTAATTCCTCCTGACAATGGCTTTCTCTGGGCCCATAGAGAGTGAATAGGAATTAGAGTCTATTCAGCACCACGCCCAAAGGTCTGACCCCAGAGAGTGTCACGTTCCTCTGAGGCGGTTTTGTCCTGACTTCAATCACATTCTTCTGTTTGAGGCTCACATTATCTGTCTGTGAAGGAACACTGCAGCTCGCCTATCCGCCCCTCAAGACGTTTTAGGCTATTGTGTGGAGCTTTGTCTTTGGCTTTATTTCAATAAAACAAAATCTGAGATGCAAGAAGTGGTCAATCAGATTTACTCATAAATTCAAATTTAATATAATTGTTAAAACATTATTCAATGACTAACAGCAAAAATAAATAAGGATGGAGAAACTGATTAACAAATATATATAGAGTATCCCTATAAATGAACGAATTTATAAGCACAGAAATAAAAGAAGTTGATTGAAGTTGATCCATTTTTATCCCCTCTTCAGATCTTGATCTAGGCTTGGTCAGAATTATTTTAGCCTATTATGAATCTTTTAGGGCAAGGTTAAACAGTTAAGAGAATATAAAGGGTTAAAAATCTCCAATACTTTACTAGGATACTTTTTATCAAGAACATTGATAATAAGACAACAACAAAATGGCAAAAGCAAATGGAAAAAACAAGAAAAGGGTGCGTACCACAGATCCAGAAAGCCTTTTGAGACTCCTGAAAAGGTTCCTCAAACAAAATAGGCTTATGTCTTAAAAGAGTTGAAGAAACAAAATAGGAGATAGCACAACTCCAATCCTGCTGTATCCTGCCCTAGAGGAAATTCATCCAACCCTAGAAGACATGGACCTGGACATGAGTCCAACAACCATGTGCTGTGCCAGGAAAAGTACGGAAGTAGATGGTACTCACAGTCAAACTGGCAAGAGGAGGCAAATGCCAATTACCTTGGTGCAGAGCATACCAAGGTCCATGGAACGAGGGCCCATATGAAAGAAAGGACAGACATAGACCAGCCACAGACATCATATGAATAACAGGTGAGGGATGTACCAACTTACCATTGTTGGTGCATCTCCAGTTCCTCAGGCACAAAAACCTTGAACTGAGCCAATGGAAAACCCACAGAAATGAAGGCATAGTATAACAAGAGCAGGAGACTGCTTTTGGTTTGAAATGCCAGATGACAGACCAGTGGAAGAATTCATCTCCAGACCATGGGACTATTCCTCACTGGATCAGACCTCAACAGAAAATAACAGAATAACAGAATCCTGTTCTTGAAAATAGTTTGTGTTCAGGCACCTCCAGTACCACCACAGAATCTTGAAACAGAGGAGGTGAGGGGACCTTTAATGCAACCAATGCGGAAAGCAAAGCCTAAATCTGTAAAGGCAGGACAGAAACTAGAGGTTGAAATCCTTTTTGGAGATGCTGACATGTCACTCTTCAAGTCTTTAAACAACTTTTCAAAAAGCAACACAAACAGTGGCATGACACCATTGACAGCCAACATAGAGGGTGCAGTTTCTGCAGTTCACCATTAGTCAACCAACAGTATGTTCAGATGATTTCTGTAACTGAGCAAACTACAACTCTAAGCCAATGAATGTAGGTAGACCTTCCTTGAAATCAAAAACAAGGAGGCCAAAGTGTAAATCTACAAGGATGGTGGTCCACTTTTGCTTTGAGATGCCAGACAGACCAGACAGTCCATTGGGGTCTTGCTTACACAAATACAAGCAAGACCAGCAAATTTATGCTCAGATTCCTCCAACAAGTCAGGAAGCAAAAAGAGAGCCTGGGCCAGAGGAGGAACCCCAAACTCCTAATAGCAACAGAAGAAACAAAGCAAAGTTTAAGACTGCAAGGCCAATTAAACCAGCTACAGTCACAGAGTACAAAACCTGACAAGGTGAAAGTAACGAGGTACCTCCAAAATCTTGAGCCGGAGGACACCAAACCAACTGTGTGATTTTACTGCAATATTCCTGATGAACCAGAGTTCAAACCAAGGCAAGTGTCCCCGCCACTGGTCCAGTTGGGTACAAAGAAGGAAAGTTGCCTATATTGGACAACTCATCCAGACTGTAGGACTCAGGGCAATGAAATAGTTTCAGGTAATTTTATTTAGGTCTGGAGGTAGAATTGGTTTGCAGCTGGAGAACATTGAGTGATTCTTTAAAACTGGAATGGCACCTTTTTGCTTATTTAGATGAGAAAAATTACTTTCACCACTAGACTGACACCATAAAGACTGATTGTTTAATACATTAAAATAAAGCAGTGTGTGTATTTTTGTTGTTAAAACTGAATAACTATTTAACCATGAAAAGCACACCTGAAAATAAGTTGAACCATGGGGAAAATGTTAAATATGTGTTTTGTCATAGATCATTATGTCTACTATAACTTTAAGTTCTACCCAAACCAGATGTTTAAACTGTAAAATTAAACACAAACAGTAACAATAGCTACCCTTGATGACCTCAAAGAACATCTCAACAATTTTAAACACCATGCTTGTGGGAAAGGTACTAAGATGTGTATTGTGTTTTGGCACAGTCTTAGTAATTGATTGGGAAAGTTACTGACATTTGTGCCAAAAGATGTAGACGGATGGTTGTGACCTCTGCTTCAACTAAACACATGTGTTCAGTCAGTGCCTCCAGCAACACAGCCCTTCCACCAAAAACTAAGCTCATGTAGCTCACTGAATATTATACTGTAGAGCAAAAAGATCTTTGGATTTGGTCTATGTAATGTGGTGATTTGCAGATGTTGGATGGTTGGATCATATAGGTTCAATGTTTGACCAGAAGTGCTGAGAAAAATCATCTGCTTCCAAAGATTTTTGCAGTCTAAATAATAACATAGAACATGTGCAGATAACTTAATTCTCCAGCTGTGTGAGTAACAAATCATGAATCAAGAGATCTGGAGAAGGTTCTCCTCACCTTGATCCCACAATATGTGCTTGGTTAAAGTGCCCCAGTGGCAGACCCCAAATTCGAAGTGCAAATGAAATAATTAAATATGTGTGAATTCAGTGTACGAACTGTGGCACCCCCTCCATTATGTACAGTAAACGCCGAAGTGCTATCTAAATATAAAAACACATATACAAAGGTGGGACGATGCCAATTTGCTGCACCGCGGTCCCCTCTCAAGAGACTGCAGAGGCGAGCAGCCACGCCAACACTGGCAGTCGGCCCACAAACATGCACTCACGGCACAGTGCTGTAGGCATTGGACCATCGCACTAATGTGGTCTGAGCTGAACTTTACTAATCACTGGAGACAAGAAAAACCACAAGAAGAACCACAACATGCAAAAGCACTGTCTCCATGACTGAGGTGCAAAGAGTGCAGTGTAGGACCATTTTCACTTTAGATTTAGAGGATTGTGTTCCAGCGCCAATGCAATCTTTATGTAGCTCAAAACATTTTTGAAAAATGATGCATATACTGTGCGACTGACGGCTTTCAGTGTGTTCAACAGTATTGACTCCTTATATCACTTGTTGCCTGTTCACCACAGTGCCATAAGACAGCTTTGATTGACTCTTGCTGAATGAGATGACACTATTTTGACACATTTGCGCATTTAGATTAGATAGATATAGATATTTTAAATTAGATTTAGATTAGATTAACCTATGGTCTCTGTTATAGAAAAATTCTTGTTGGACAAGCAACAGGCACAAAAACACATGACAGCAAACAATAAACCGTCCACTCCACATCCAACTTTAATCCAATAGTGGCAGTTATCATCGAGGCAATACAAATTTCTCAACCATCAGTATTTTCCAATTCACTGAACAGCATGTCAGGTAAAAAAAAAAAAAGCACATTAGCACGCAAAAGTGCAGATTAATTAGCTGAACTATTGCACTAGTATCCGTCAATTAATTAAGAACCATGGAATGTTTATATCTATTCAACTTACAGTTTGGCACTCTGTACTGTTTTTATAGTTTCAAACCAATGAGCTCTGAAAGATTCATTTGCAGTTTGATGAACAAAATGAAATAAAAATAAAAAATGAGAAGGAATCATAAAGACAGGCCCCTGGTCATAATGCTGTATATTTTTTCTCTACCCCATAAAATAATCTATTGCTGCAGAGATGACGACAAGCCTTCACTGTCTAATCAGCACAAAACTTGGGGACCATTGCTACCACAACACAGCTTGCGGCTAACCTCTATATTCAACTTGGGACATTTTCAACCTGCAGAATTAAATCTGCTGATCCAACAAGGTTTTTTCCACACCTCAAAATTTAAAACAAAAATGTGTGTACTTTCTGCCCAAGAATGTGC